TGTCTGAGTACTATTCCCCTAAGTACTATTAAACATCTCATTTCTGGAGTATTAGTGTTAGACAGCATGGAATAATGCGCTCTCCCTTCTTTCCTCCTCCCACAGAAGGGATAAGTAGATTAGCTGCTGGAGATAAACATATCAACTATATATCACATTTATAAATGGGTGTTTGTTACACGTAGAAAGCCTTTTGAAACTAAAGATCATTTCCCTCTTATTTCCAAGCTTTTTCTCTGAAATTGTATCTCCTTTCAATATCGCTAAATTAAAAGACAGCAGATTCTGAGGAATTGTTAATTTGTATTTTGCCTCATGTTCTGTTTTCTACATGTGTCTTCTCACACTGTGCTTTCTTTAGCACAATCTTCCCTCAGATATTGTGATGACTGCAAGGGCTTGCCAACATGAGATGTTAGATGAATCTTTAACATGCACAGTCTCTCTCCTCACAAAATGCAAATGATATGCATTAGTGGTGTGATAACTGTGGAGATCTCAACAGAAGATCATCTCACCAGGAGCACTCTTGAGGTATATATTCCTCTGAAACAGACGTGGTTGGTCACCAGGTCAGTAGAGGAGACCACGTCATTATATCTGCTCACTCTCCCACCCCATGGTTTGTCTAGAAATAGGAATAAGAAAGCAAGCATCCTGGGGCAAACAATTCAAGCCTCTTTCTGAAATATTGTTATTCTTCTTGTCACCTGAGTCTCACCTGTAACTCAAATTAGTGGTAGCACACAAATTTCCTAACCAAATCTTTTTGGCATCTCCTATGCTCTAAAGGTAATTTTAGGAAGGTGGGATCAAAGGTGAAGATACCAAAGAGAATATATGTTTGCCTCATGAAACCTGCAAATTAAACTTGCTAGTGACAAATTGCAAAACAAAGCATGCTAAATGCAAGATACGTAGAAAAAGAAAATAATGTGATATGATAGACATCTTTTATCACTTGAGGAAGCACCTGTTCTAAAAATGCTACACAGATCTAGTTTGACACTAAGGCATCTGAAATAGGGATCACTTTTCCTCTATCTTCAGTCAAATTATGTTAATTATGTAGTTCCCATGCTTTCCTCAGAGCTCTGAGATCATGTTTTTCTTATTTCATTGATAATTTAGAGCAGGAGCAGGCATGCTTAAGGGTGCAGGGGCCAATTTTCCAACCCCAGGACCCTCTCTGGGCCATACCCCTCCTCATGTGAAACCAGAAGTAACTGGAAAGTCACTTTCCCTTTGAAGGAGGAGCAGGCCCTTTTCTGCAACATGTGTGGAGTTTCTCTCAGAAAACAAAGGATTTGCCTTTTGTAAGGTACAAATCAGTAGAAATCACAACTCCTATCTTTGCCCTAGGAGAGTTGATGAACTATATTTTGGCCTTTTCCCAAAGTTCCAGGCACAGATTATTCTCCATCATATAGTATCTCCAATATAGGTGGTTCTTTACAAAGAATAACAGGACTTGTCCCTAATACACTCTAAAAATAGTCACATGGGAAACAGCAGCAATAATGAAAAGGGGAAGGATGTTCTGTTGCTTCCGTCACATGTACTTAGTTTCAATACTCTATTGTAACTACAAGTAAAGTCAATGGCTTTCTTGAACAGAGGCTTTGAAGAGGGATTTTAGGGAAGTAATCTGATTGAAGAATTGGAAGGCAGAGTTCCAGGGCTAAGGGGAGCAAAGGGAGAAGGGCAGTGTTTTTTACGGAATAGATAAGAGTGACTTGACTGGCTAGGAGTGGTTAAGCTGAACAATACCTGCAGCAATATAACATCGAGTGCAAAAGCAAACAGATAAGGAAGAGTGAAGTATTGTTCAAAATCTTTATAAATGCCTTGGCAGAATGACTACAAGGATATTCATCAAACTCGTGGAAGACATAAGTACTGTTAGGTAAAGTCAATACCTTGGAGAACAGAATCAGGATTCAGAGTGACCTTAACAGATTGGAGAACTAGATCAAAGTGATCACCACAAATTTCAAAAGAGATATATGATAAGTTCTATATTAGGCAGTAAAAATGATATAAACATATATAGAGTGGTGTAAGGGGATTGCTACCAGTGCCCTAGGCAGGCTGTCTGATGCCCTAGCTCCTGGACCCCTAGTTGGCAAGGGAGAGGAAGGACAGATACCTGTAAGCAAGCTGGTTGATAAGGACCACCTGCAAGGGGGAAGGGCAAGGTGGAGTCTTGGAAAAAGAAGAAGAGCAGGAGAATTTAAGAGCTTTCTTCAAGGAAGTGGAGGAAGAACTAGAGACTTCAAACAAGAAGATGCAGGGAGAGGCTGTTGAGGCTTGGGATCCCCAGTTCTGTGTTTCAGTTGAAGTGGAGGTTGCCTGGCAAGAGGAACTCTGGGCTGAAGTCCCCAAACTCCACCTGTTGAATAAAGGAAGGGGCTGTGGATGAAGGACACCAGGGGCAGGACTCCAGGAGCCTACTGTATCTCTGACATGACATTGGCACCCACCTCATCCAATAGGAGCAGTGGCACCCACTCTGACCCAGCTGTTGCACCAGTGATAAAATTGCTACTGTGAGAAACAGAGGTGGGTCCAGAAGGAGCAGAGGAGGAGGTACCAGTACCCACTGCCTGGCTGTCCTTGAAGATAATTTGACCAAGGCCAAGACTCCTATTCCCTTCTTGGTTTGTGAGACCAGGACTCTCAGCATTCCCTGTGGCTTTAACAGGAGACCCTCTTGAAAGGACATTGTTTGGAATGCTAGTGCAAGGAACTCAACTCTTAAGGAAGCTCCAGCAGAGTTAAGGATGGTGTTCCTGTTCTGTTGGTTCCTCAGTTGCAGTAAAAACTGTTCTTGGTTATTCTCACAACCTGGAGCCTCTGGAGCTATTGCCAGGAGATCTAGCTGCTGCTGGCACCAGCAGGGGTGGAACCAGTAGTGCACACAAGTGGGTAAAAAATGGCTTGTTGTAACATGTGTGAAAAAGGTCTCTTAGTAGATGATATGCTAAAGAGTCAATAGGATAATATGGAGCCGGGGGGAGGTAATGCAATTCTAGGCGGCATGAATGGATATGAAGTGTCTAGAAAAAGGGAAGATGCCCAATATCTTAAAGGGTCTAGAAACGAAGCCCAATGAGAAGTGCCACAAAAATGAGCTTCTACATAAGGATGTATAACACCCAGTGACCTCTGTCTGAGCCATCTCAAGCTCTATAGTGCTTGGATTATCCAGGAAAGGTATTCAGCTTTATTTGGGGGAGGGAGGACTCATGCAAACTGAATGCTGCTGGTAATGTATGTTACTTTCAATTTCCTCTTCCTCACTGGAAATCATGGCTCAGCTTTTTAAAAGTAACCCCACAGATGGTGGATTCAACACATAAGATCAGGGGATGTGCCATCCCATGGGTAATTGGTGGTTGCTTGTTCCACTCCATGGTAATCTCCGAATCACACAAATACCTCAGATTTGGTGCATTTCATATATGTGTCCAAAGAGAGCAAAAATCTCTACCACATCTCTTTACCAGCTGATTGTCCAGGATCATGACATTTAATGGACAAGAAACATATTGCTTCATGGCTCCAATGTCATGCTCCTGCTGACTGCATCCTGAAATACAAAACACAATATCAACATTATCGTACAAGCCTCAAGGAGTTTCCACTGAATTTATCCTAGAAAAGAGCACTGAAAGACAGGAAGCATTTGCTCAAGATACATTATGAAATTAGATCGCTTCATTAGCTAATGGGGCTTTCAGAATAGCTTGTATCCTTTTACTTTGAAAAAGGCAGTTAGTCCTTTTGTTCTCTGGAACAAGGTTTAAGAATGTCTCCAAGGAGCCCTTCCAACCCTTTTCTAGTTCCATTGCCTTATTTGAAGTCTGGGATAGAGCAGTCTTCTACTTATTGATTGTTAAAACCAAATATCTCAGGAAACTCCTGTCCTCTGAAGATGACAGCCACAGAGACTGTCGAAACGTCAAGAAAGCTTTTGCGAATTTATTAATATTTCCTGAGATATGTATTTTTGAAGGCTTTCACGGCCGGGATCTGATGGTTGTTGTGGGTTTCTCGGGATCTTTGGCCATGTTCTGAAGGTTGTTCTTCCTAACGTTTCGCCAGTCTCTGTGGCCGGCATCTTCAGAGGACAGCACTCTGAAGATGCCGGCCACAGAGACTGGCAAAACATTAGGAAGAACAACCTTCAGAACACGTCCAAAGTGCCCGAAAAACCCACAACAACCAATATTAATAAGCTTTGTCATTTTTCATTAGGACCTCAAATTTCTGGGAAATACATTGTGAAGGACAGATTCTCTCTTCAGCTTTAATTTAAAGTCTTGCCCACATGTGTGATCTCAACTGAACTATGACATGATCTGTCTGCTGGTTCTTCACTGTTCCCAGATTGAAAGCCCATTTGTGGTAGGAAGCACTGCCAATAATGACATCTAAAAGGGAAAATAATTATTACCCTAGGTGGTGGTTTGACCCCATAATAGGTCTTTGTCTCTCTATAGTGTTAAATATGGATGGTGGGGTTTAACATTCATTTGTAAGAGTTAAGTGAACCCAGCCTTGCCAATAATAGAAATCAGCATAAATTCTGAGAATGACAGAATCTTATTGTCACACCTGTAATTGTTAATGGTACCAGAAACTGTACTGGACCAGCATGATCTTGGCCATGCAGATATAGTATCTACACATGTAATAGCCACAGGTTGGCTACTTAGATGTTGTACTGCAACATCCATCAGCCCTAGTGAGCATAGCTAATGCTGAGGAATGGTTGGAATTGCAGTGTAACAACACTCAGAAGAACTACACTTTCACCTGCCCTGGTCTATTCCAATGCAGGGAGGTCTTGAATGAGTGTCTTTAAATTGTGTTTTTTAACATAATTTGACTCTCCAAGGCAACTTAGAACAAAATGGTAACTCAATCTCTTCCATAAAAATTGCTAGTACATTCATTCTCCCTTTCCCATTTACATTACTTTTTAAAAAACACAGGTGGAAAATACATCTTCCTCCTGATCCACAGTACTTGAGTTGGGTAAGCTTCCCAAACTATCATCCTTCTGTGCCATTCATGGCTAGGTCAGAAAGGTCATCTTGTCAAGTGAAGGTAGGTTTATTTCTTCTTTTACCATTTACATTAAAGGTTGTGAAAGTCGCATAAATGTATTGACAATTCAGCAGTTAAAAATAATCAAAAGGAAGTCATGTGATGCATCTTGATATGTGTTCAATTTGCCCAAAGTAGTAAAAAGGCTTATCAATTGACCTTTAAAAAACCTAACAAGCCTACTATATATTTTTTCTTTTCTCTATTGAATCTTTTTCAAATGCTTTTGGTTTCTTTCTGTGTTAAGTTTGTACAAAAAAAAATTATTGGGCAGCAGTCAGGCACAAAGGGAACAGTGGTATGCTTATTTGCAGTCCTTCAGACACCTGCTAGGCAGTCAGCCCCATTAAAGTCCAATGAGACTTAATTCCAATAGCACAGTATTGTGCTATTTGCTTCACTTTTAAGTGCTCCCAGCTGAAATGAGTTGTTAGTATATACCTGGCTTGCCAGTTTATTCACAGTACAGGAAGTTTTCTTGTTAGCATCAGCATAGAGGATTCCCCCTGTCTCAGGGACTTTTGGCAGACTGTTGTAATACTGGAAGCAAGAAATCCAATTTAGCTGAGATTACATTTATTTTTAAAGACTTGACAGTCTCTAGTAAGCTTCCTTGCACTATCTTGACCTTGCTGAATTCCTGGCTATGTGCAATTAATCATCTGCAGTTCTTAAGAGCACCCCCCCAGTCCTGCAACCTGGAGAAAGAGACATGCGCCTTTGACGTGACATATTTTACATGGTGGTTTGCCAGCATGTAGATTATCAGCATGTGGTCATTAAGCTAATTTTCTGCAGCACCAGAAGTAGGTCAAAGCTTTGTACTTTGCTTGCCAATCCATTCAGCTCTCCCACCCACAACAATTCCACTTTACATATTTTAGTTCCACTTGGTCAATCTTTCTTCACAGACAAAAATGTATGAAGTTTATTCACAGCTAAAACCTGACTTCCTTTTTTATCTATTTACCACTGCCTCATTCTGTTTGCATTTCAGAGCTAAAACTGAAGATGCTTGAAAGAAAAAGAAACAGTCTTTAATATGTATCAAGACCAATGGCACATTCCTTTTTAAGTTGTCCTTTACTATGCACAAAAACAAAACAAAAACAACTGTGGAAAATGAAACAGGTTGGGGGGCAGTTCTGATGTAATGATGTGACTGAGTTCTAAAGAGCTGTAGCATACCAGGAATGAACAAACATGGTGACAGAGATACTGTAGCTTGATTGCTCCCACTTAACTCCTGTTACCAGCAGGAATGGCTGAACAAGCCAGGATACCTCTGTTCCTGGTTTGTTAGTTTTACATGTGAAACATTTTACTTCTTTCCTAATAAGCCAGAACCAGAAACCAGGATTTATTCTTGGGTTACAATTCTGCCAAATGGAAAATTAGCATTAGCTACGATGAGGGTCCATCTCTGCAGGAGAGGAGCAAAAAGAAAAAGCCAGAAATCAGTGCTTGGCCGTAACATTGGTGGAGGTTTCCTACTTCTTTAACTCATTCATGTCAGAAAGAGTGAGACAGCAGTATGCAATGGCACTCTTGCTCCTAGTAAGCTTACCATTGTGCTTCAAATTCAATTAGGTTTGTTTAGGAAAAAAGAAAACATACCAACCAAATTGGAGAAGTGATTACTCAAGTCTGAACACTCACTCCATGATTTCCTTTTCAAATGAATACCATTAAAAACTATTGTCTGTTCAGATCACATTTGAGAATAGGGCATATACACATTATAAAATGCTGCAAACCTTCTTCATTATCAGAGATAAGGAAGGTCTGATGCTGAGGACTACAAATATGTGATTGGGTTTGGATTTTATTTTTCGACTCCAAAATTCTCCAAAAATTTCTGCAAACAGCTTCTGGAGAATAGCCATGGTCCCCTAATAGCCCTTACTTCCTGCTGCAATGCTTTCTGGGTGAAATCTGCTGCAGTACTTTCCGGGGGTAGTAGTCTTGTTATCCTTTAGGCTCTATGGAGCATGCTTCCTGAACCCCTTTCTCCTAGGAGGCGGCCACAGTCTTTTTCCAGGGAGATGAAATGAAATTGTCTGTAGGTGTGAGTGGGTGGCTGGAGCTCCCCCAATTCCATCTGAAAAATTCTGGGTTTTCGAGGGTCTTTTAAAAGACATAGCTCTACTGAGGACTTCCATGAACAGTAGGACACCTCCAGACATAATGGCTGACTCTCTGGTTTTCAGTGTGACCTAAAACATGACAGTTTGTAGACACATCAGGGTTCATTAAGGACCACATGTTCTTGACACATCCCCAAACACAGAGGAAAGTAGTGCTGGATGGGAGACACCACACCCTGCAGGCCACTGCAGACCATGGTGGCCAATAGGTCAGCCACACCCACCCAGAACCCAGGGGAGGTGGAAGCATCGGTGGGGCCTTCAGGAGGGTTGAAGAACTCCTATGTTACGACAGGGACTCATGTGCATAGGCCATTCTTGCAGGGTCCTGGCTGGCTGGCCAGGAGAGGTGATTAAACCACCCTAGCTATGGATGCTGAACTTGTTGGCCCCAGTAGAATTAGTGTTGGAAATTCTACCCCCTGACAACTGGATGGGCTGGGAGAGGATTGTTGTTGCTTCATCCTATACCTTGCTCTCTGGAGTCAAGAAAATCAAGGTTGGACATTTCAGTCAGTCTGAAACCCGTGAAGATCCTTTCTGTGGAGGTTTTGCCCACCATCCCAACACTAGTAGAGGTAGTGGTGCTCACACCTTCCCACCTCATGTACTACTTATATTTGTACAGTATCTTGTTTTCCCCTTCATTGTGCTCAAGACTAAATACACGACTGCTCTTCCCTATTTTATCCTCACCGCAACCATATTCTGAGTTGAGCTAGACTGAGAGAGAATAACTGACCCATGGGTCATCCAGGGAATTTCACAGAGTGGGAACTTCAATGTGGATCTCCTGAGTCTCAGCCCAACACTCTGGTCTCAACCGTTCTCCACAGTAAGACTGGTCTCTTGTTTCTATCAGTGTGAATGTATAACTAGTAAAAAACACTGTTTTTTTAAAAAAATGACAGATTTAGGCATTCACTGATGAAACAATGTTCTCTAGTTTATTGCACCAATGCCACAAGAAAACTGACACACATGATACTGTACATTTACATCTCAAAGCATGAAGTTCATACAGTTTGGTACTGGTAGCCACTCCCCCTCCCAACTACAGTATTTGCATTTTCCCTCTGCAAACATACTGCAGCCACATAAATACATCTTCATCTAGCAGGTCACATGATATTTCCTCTAAGCAAGGCAACATGCTTCATTTATATATTTTTTAAAACAGTTGCTACATGTTTTGAAAGTCCAGCTGTTATTTTAGTGAGATGCCCACTGATTTCAGCTGTACAGTTATCAATCCAGTGGGGATACTGGAAAAATTAAGGTATCAAACCTTTCAGAAAGCGGTTGCTGTGCTGATTTCACATGAGATACCCAGAATATCATTCAAATAGCAGACATCAAGCTATGAAATTTTCAACGGGTTAAGAAGTATTTACAAATTATTTACTTAAATGAACATCTATAATAATGAGCTTCATGCTTTTGCCTTTTGTGTCCATTTATTAAATGTTAAGACAGTTTTAGAGAAACTACAATTCTGCTTAACACTGTAAAATATGGTCCGTGAAAAGATGATGTGATTTGTTCCCAGCTAGGAAAGGAAAGTATGCCACCTGTTTTGATGTAACAATTGGTAACACCATGGGGAAAAAAAACTGTAATCTAAAAGATTTTGAAAGGTTCTTCCCTGTCACTGTCAGTTTTAGTATTTGTTATTTACATCACTTTTAAAGCCATTAAATTATGCAAATCAGAGTATATTAATAAAATATAGCCATGGAAACTCACTGGTGCAGCTACTGCTCTGGAAATGCTACAGCGCAATCCATCAGAAAATTCAACAGGTGCACTGATTTGCAGTTGCCCCCTAGTGGCAGCTTATTCTGAGGTAGCATTTATGAGGGAATAAAAAGAAGGCTTTTCTTCAAATACTGTACAGAATGAAACCACTTCTCAGTAAAACAATGCATTCCCCATTTGGGGTCATTTCTTAGTCTATGCATTTTGAAGACCACCATTAAGAGAGGAAAAGAAAAAAGAAAGTACACTTTTAAAAACATTCCAAGATAAGGATGAATTGATGTGGTATGCATAGGAGAAAATTATGTCCTTGAAAATAAGAATTGCAGATCAATTCTGCTGTGGAACAGGATTGTCTGAACTGTGGTCAGTTTGAAGAAGTAATCACAAGAATGAAGAAGACAAAATGGAAGTTTTTATAATTCCCGGACAAGAAAACACTAATATTAAAGAAGCATTTAGATAAACACTCCATGAAATTTGCTAGTATCACTTGTACCAGTTGCCAAGTATGACAACATTTCTTTTTATACCTCATTAGCATTTTCAATCCTGTATGGAGATTTTATCAGACAAGTGGATAATTTTAGTATTGTGGCAGCCAGGAGCTTTTTGGAAAAAAGAGGTCTTCCTCTTTATTCTAATTTAATGAAATAATCTGCAGTGCTTGAGGGTAAAGAAATTACAACTGAACTTACTAGAAACTGAACCCTAGATCTGGAAACCTAAAAAGGATCTGTCAGTGCAGTAGTACAGTAATATTTCTTAAAGGTACATGGATATGATTAAATTCAAAACTCGCATCTCTCTCTCTCTTTAGAATCCAGGGGTACCAGAGTAGAGAAGGCACTGAGGTTAGTGCAAAAATTTCTGTTAAATCACATGAAATACCTGTAATTGTCCTAATAAATTATTCTGTCACTGTTACTATGGCTACTCTCTTGCCCACCCCCACCTCCAGGACAATTTCCTCACTGGTATATCTTCCTGTACATTTCAATGATTCACTTAAGAATGCAGTCTTGTCTCCACAGCCTCTTATTCATAGGGCAAATAATACCTTTATGCATTGAAACAAATCACCCAGAGTTTACGCCATGTACATAGCCATGCTGATTTTTTAAAAAAATTTCAACACATTTTTGAACTGGTAGTGCATGAAAAGTTATATGGTTTGACCTATATGTTGATAAGGCTAGGAAACTGGAATGCAAGAGGTGGCATTTGCATCAGGATAAGTTTGCAGTAGACATTCTGCCAGCCTACAGTAGCTTCTTGTGTTTTTGTTATTAGCATTGATGGAGAACTAGAACTTCCTTCTCCATGAAGAATACTGAATGAAGCTGCAGCTATCTCAGCCACCACCAAATTTCAGCATCTTGTTCCACGGAAGTGTAGTGCTGTAACACAAAAATGTGGGCATGCATACATCCTCTAGCTTGTCCATTCAAACATAGGAATGTTGATATATGTATATATGCAGATTAGCTTACAAATCCTCCATGGGGAGGACCAGAACAACAAGACAAGAGCAACAATAAGAAAATAACAGTTTGGTTTTCTGTTTCTTTAAGAACTGTACAGAAGCAGTGTATCCACTCATAGTGTTTAATCATTCTGTCTAGCAAAATGTAAGGTTGCATGACACTATAAAAACCCTGAATGTCTTCAATATTATGTAAACTGTAATTCCAATGCCAACTTTCCAGACAAAACAAAGGATAGGAAAAGTGACAGAATGAATTGCTGTCACCTGCTGTCCTCTCTCTGCTCCCCATCCTTTTGTGTTTGGTATCCTCTGTTCTTCAACTGTCCAATCCACTCACTTTGCTAAGGGGAGATTTTAGCTTAGAGCAGTATTTGAGCAACATATGGAGAATGAGTACTTGCTATAGCAGCCAGAAGAGGCAAGTCATTGGATTCAATCCTAGAAATAAAAAGGATTTTCATTATGTAAGTTGCAGTTTAAAATATATCCACATGAATTATCCTTTTTGGGAAAAGAGACAGAGAAGACACATGATCAAATGAAACTTCCTGGATGTAACTAAAGCTACCTTATAACAACAAGGCTAGAAAACACAAGTCGTCCAGGTGTTGAACTGTGAGTCTCTTCAGCTCCAGCCAGCATAGCCAATGATGAGGAATGGTGAGGGTTGCTGCCCAGCAACATCTGGAGGGTTACAAGTTGTTCACCTGATACTATAGTAAGAATGTAATCTTTTTACTTATCTACAGTATTAGTAAGCCTCACTGAACATCGTGGGACTTCCTTCTTAAGGCACAATTGTATATATTTAAAAGATAAGTCATATATATCTCTTGCATACCCATCCCTGACATTGGTAGTTGCAGGAAAGGGACTGCCCTTCCACATGGCACCTTCCTATCAAGTGAGAGGAAAACTGGGATCTCCAGAGTCATTCCAACAATTCCTGAATGACTCTGGAAAGGAACAAAATTCTATCTAAATAAAGGCAAGAGTTTGGAGGCAGGGTTCGGCAGCAAGGAACAATCAATATTCAAGTGCAACTAAGCAACTGCATGGATCAGGGAAGGTCTCATGAGGGCACATATGGATTGCAAGGTAAAGGAAAATATATGTTTAGTGATACATGGGCCTGTAACAACATTCACCATGTCAGCAAAGCAAACCTCCAAAAGGGCCCAGCAACAAGGTTAAATTCCAGACATATATTATTCAAACGACTGTCAATAAGTCACCTTGCCTTTAGCAAATACTTCTGACTCAGATACAGTAACAGAGATGGATCAACATTGCAATGGTCTAGCTAGTGGTCCCCAACCTTTTAAACCCCGTGGACTGGTTGGGGAAAGCGGGGCATCCCCCGCGCTTCTGCGCATGGGCGAAGGAGGGCACTCGCTTGTGCAAAGGAGCGGGAGCATGATCGTGTGGGCGGGTGCACACTCGTGCCCATGTGCAAAGGGCAGGATGGTGCTTGGGGCCCTTGTGCACATGTGCAAAGGTGTAGGGGAGTGCTCTTATGTGCGCAAAGGGGCTCTGCGTGTGTGTGTGGGGGTGGAGGTCTGTCTCCATGGCCCAGTCCGGCTCAGGCCACAGACATCTGGTTGGGGATTCATTTTTTATATTTATATTATAACTACTATGCTGAAGATTGAATTATTTGAATGTACAGTGCTGAAATTTTTTAGTTCTAAAAGTGTTCATTGCCAAAATAAACAGCACTACTTCTTATGATCTCAGGGTTACAGAAATATAATGTACATGAGGCTGAAAACAAACTGTTTCCAAGGCATTCATTTATTTAACCTCTTCCAACACTATGCAAAAAAAACAAATTACACACACTTTTCATGTTCTAATACTGAGATGGCCAACTAGCAGACTACAGAGCTATTTTCCCCCTTATATTTGACTCATGTTTATTCATTTGTAGATTACCTTTCAACAAAAAGCTGCTCAAGGGGCAGCTTTCATTTGTATTTTTCCAAAGATTATTAATAAACAATCCATGCTGGATTTAAAAACAGACGTTAATTTAAAACAAAACAAAACACAAGAACTGCAAAATTCTCCATTAGTTCCTACAGGCTTAATGAACAGAAGCAATTTTTCCCCACCAAGGTCAAATGGATATACTTTACTGAGAGCATCCACAACCTTAGTGTAATAGGAGGAAATGTTCTGTTTTGACCTAATGACAACCTGAATTCACTAATAAGGCGGGAAATTGGGAAAAGCCATAGCGTTGTGAGTGAGTCTCTGCTTTACATGTAGAAGGTTCTAGGCTCAATCCTTCATTAATCAAGTTAGAGACAGGAAAAAATCATGCTTGAAATCCTGGGACGTATTTGCCAGCCTGTGGCAAGGGCAGTGGGCTAGATGGACAAACAGTCTGACTCAAGGTAAGTTGGTTTCCTATGTCCCTATTAGCCTAAACCAGGGGTTCTCTTGTAGAGCTGGGAAGTACAGTACAGAGGTGCCTCGCTTGACGAGGATAATCCGTTCCGTTCAAATCGCTGTTAAGCAAAATCCTCGTCAAGTGAAATGAAAAAGCCCATTGAAATGCACTGAAAACTGCTCAATGCGTTCCAATGGGCGAAATACCTCAGCGTACAGTGAAGATCCTCTATAGGGCGGCCATTTTCTGGTGCCTGTAATGCGAGGAATCCGTCCTAAGTACAGCGGGGAGCCATTCTAAACAGTAGGCGGCCATTTTGAAACCTGACAATCAGCTGTTTTCTGATCATCGTAAAGCGAAAAACCGGTTCCCGAAGCAGGGAACCAATTATCGCGAAGCAATTTTTCCCAATTAAAACACTGTTTTGCAATCGCAAAAACTTCATCATTAAGCGATTTCCTCGTCTAACGAGGTAATTGTCTAGCGGGGCACCACTGTATATAAGAGAAGGAGTTTCTTCTGACTATTTTTGGGAGGGGGTTTGCTTTTTTTGGGGGGGAACTCACGAGACAAAAAGTATCCTTACATACCAACTATAATTTACAAATGGTTTTACAAGCTGTTTAGTAGTATTGGTGGGCACAACTTCCCCTAGCAAATCCATGAGCAATTGGAATGAAAATGCAGTTAAAAATTTGCTCGTATTTTCATCCATATTTACAAACAGCAAAGGAGAAATGTTTTCAAATTTATGAACAAAGTACTGTACACATTACTACTACAGGCATCTCAGAAATGTGTATATTAATGTTCTGAACAATGTAACTGAGGAACAAAATGGTTGAAATCCAGTAGTAAGTCACAACTTGAATAAGTGAAGTGGGGATTTGATTAGTCAACACCTATACAAGGTCTACTGATTCAATGGGCCTACTCTAGCTGCAACTTACTACTAGATTTCAGACAGTACACACCAGGTTTCTCAAGAACTTTGTGAATAACAGATCAAACTTTCAAGCAGAGGATGTTTTTGGACTACAGATCCTAGTGGACTAGAGCACTGGCAAAGTTGCTTCAATGAGTCTGGGAGATGTAATCCAAAAATCATTTTTCAAAGCTCTTTCTGTAAATATACTGTAATCTGCTGTGCCTGGTCTGAAAGGCAAGTTGCTGCTAAATGTGGACAGTTAGGTTAAAGCCAGGAGTTGGGAACTTCTGGCTCACTGTATGTTCTAGATAGTAATTCCTATTAGTCCCAACTAACAAAGCCCGTTGCAAAGGACTGTGCAAGTTGTAAAACACAAGGGAGGGGGTGTCCAGAAGTCCTCTAACCTTAGGCTAAATTCTTTCTCTCAGAAATCCTCTTAGGACAGCACTAAAGACTGGTCTGTTTCCCCCTGACCCCTGCCACACTAAGCAGGATTTTTCTCCCTCATCTTCCCTGCAAAGTATTTTCCTTGTTAAGTTTCAATTTGTTCACAGATTACAGAAGGCCAAGGAATCTGTTCTATATTCATACATTTAACAGCTCAGCTTGATTTCCAGATGGCTGAGTGGGACAGAAGCCCACCTACACCCACACTCTCCTTACAGAAAACCTGACAATGGTAGAACAGGAGGAGTATCCTGAATGTTTTGTACATGCAAGTAGAGGGAGAGGACCTTCCAGTTTTACAGAAGTTTCAGCACTTACCCCAATACCACTCCAAGTTCTTTCATATGAACTCTTGATTGACCTCGCAAATATTTAGACAACATTGTGCTTTTGAGGTACATTTCTTGTAGCCGATCCTCAAGATGCATCACACACTGTAAATGGGAGAGGAGCAGGCCAAAGTGATCAGATCCAACAGAATATAGCACAATAAATAGGTAAAGTGTATTACACATAAAGCCATGGAAAACAAAGTCATCCTCGCTAGGGTTTGATCTAGTTTTGTACATCACTGAACCCTGACAATACTTTTTCAAAATTAGCCAGCCAGAATCACACTTGCCCCTCTGTATGGCAATCTATATCTTTGCCTTGACAATGGGGTGGGGTAGGGCTTGTTAATAACCAGGAGAACTAGGAATGAGGATGCCTGGGATAGTACGAGGCACTTAGCATCACCCCTCATAGTACCAAAGCTAACAGTGCAAATAACTCTTTTGCCAAGCCAGTAGATTTCAAACAATAAAGTATGTAACCAGGGCCTGTCAGAACAGAGGACAGAGGAAGGTGGCTACAGCCCAGAATGGAAGGTCCCAAAACAGGGCCGCCAATCTTCCCAATAGTTGCCAAAGGGAGATATCCTAAACCTCCCAGTTACGTCAGGTCAGGGAGTCTGATACCTGAAAAATCCCCCTAAGAGTCCTACAGAACTTGGTAGACCTCTAAGGCAATGGTTCCCAACCTTTTGACACAGTGGACCGGTTGGGGGAGGACCGGGTCTGTGTGCGGGAAAGGCGGGGCAGATCCTGCACTCGTGTGCATGCAGGGGCACTTGGGTGGGGCGCATACTCACATACGCAAAGGTGCTGTGTGGGGTGGGTGGGAGATCTGTATCCACGGCCCAGTCTGGCCCAGACCACGGACCAGCATGGGGCCATGGACCGGGGGTTGGGGACCCCTGCTCTAAGGCAAAATCAGATGCTTATGTTTATCATAGCTGGCATTTATCCCAGTTAAGTGTTAATCCCAGAATGAATGGCAGTCAATCATTTCCAATTACATCGAACTTCATTTAGGTATCAAGGCATGAGTCTTTTCATTGTTGCAATGATTTCAGGCTTGTCTAACTCTACAAGAATTATTACACACTGTTTCTATGTTCCATATGCACAAAACTATTTCAAACATCCAAAAGTCTTACAGCTATGGAAAACTGTAGGCAGAGATGCCTTAAAAATAGGAAAACTAAACTTAATTTGCAAGCAAAGACTTAAGTCAGAATTCAATCCAAAACACAAGAGCATAAAAAGAACAGTAAGAATACCAACAAGAATGTTTTAATCACATTTTAAAAATGCAAGAGCTTATAACCTAAAAAGGAAGTTAAAAAGCAAAAAACAGAGAATGTATCTCTAAAACACATAATTTAAAAGTAAAAAAAAAACCCCACTACAGTTTTAAGTAATCTTTCATCTTTAAGCATGTTACTGAACACACATGTAAAATTATTTAATAATGCTCTCACTCAGTCAAGCCAGCCGTGTGCCAGTTTGCATCTATGGAAGGAAATCCATGGTGACCGTGTTGCCAGCTTCTGGAAAAGACGCCTCCTGCTGCACTGTTATATTAATGTTGTTAGTATCTGATCGTGAGTGGTGTGTTGCCTCCTTGTGTTGATGAGCTGAATGTTACTGTGTGTGTACCTCCCTATATTTATAATTATTTCAGTTGTTTATCTTTTCCCTGCAAATTGTAAACATTCCCTTTTCCAGGATCTAAAGATTATGGGGGTTTGATGAACCAAGGAAATGTTTTTAAACAGGAACCTCCATTGTTGCTGCACTTCTTGTAATTCCAAGAGCTGCTCACATGGGGGAAATGTTCTTTAGTTCTTCCAGTTCTTTCCATACATATGTTATACTGATTCTCATTAATGTGCTATATATACCAAGGCGAACATCCCAAGAACTTTCAGCGGTAACAATTTATTTCCTCCTATTTGAATCATTATGGCCAGCTACAATATAGTACCAGTTTATTTTCTCTCTTGCTTCAAGGGGCAATTCAGCATATATATTTTAAAAATATTTATGATACATTGCTATATCAGGAAGGGGTTTCTGTTTGGGATTATGTCCTCTGTTTCACTGGCTGTTCCTGCAGAAACACATTGCTCTGTTTACTTCCCCCACTATCTCCTTTGCCTTTCAGGTAAATCTGCCATTTCTTTTCCCTCCCCCTGCAAAAAGTGGTGTGTCAAAAATACAGTACTGTAGCAATGGCTCAGATTGCTCTGTGATACACTTTTTACCAATGCATCGATGTAATGGCTGTGAAAATTTTTTTTAAGTGTGCTGCGGTAATGGTGGCCACCTTCTTGGCTACAATTCAGAAAAGAAGCAGGTCAGGTCGTGCACACAGGCAATTACAGTAAGGAATGCACTGATACAACAGAGGTACAAAATAACACAAGGAGTGGAGAATAAACTGCAGTTATACCTCTGGTTGAGAAAATGTTTTGATCTTGACTGTGCACCGTGTGACTGGAAAAACAACGACAATCTAACTGGGGGATAACTAGAGAACATTTCCCTCATGTGATCAGGGCCTGAGATTCGACTGGGGGATAACTAGAGAACATTTCACTCATGTGATCAGGGCCTGAGAGTCACAAAGCCAGGAGGAATAAAGGCTTATAAAGAAACTGGTGCACCAAGATCCTCTAAAACTAGAGCACTGTAGTAACAGAGAATGCAATTATAGGACTTGAAAACACCTCTCTGGCCATATCAACACACTGCAACATAAATACATTCTACTTATTTCAATACGCTTTCCATTCTCTCCCACAGCTCAACTGTCAGGCAAGAATGTAACTCCTTTTGCTAGGGCACTGTTGATGTACAGCGACCTTGTTCCCAGGCCTGGGTGGAAATAGGGCTGATTATTTCACAGCTCCTGTTAATAAAGTGCTGTTCAATCCTCATTTTAAAAGTACAATATACTTTTCCAGGATTGCATTTTCTACACCCCCTTAATTATTTTAGTGCTAACATACACAACATTTCAAATCCTGACAGGCAAGTACTTCCGGAAGGTTAAGGGGGCGGGGGAATTATTCTTTGCTATGCTGCCTTTTTCTAGGGTTGAAAAATCAGTGCAGTGGCATATGCGATGAAAAAACCCCAGCTGCACATCACATCTGCCCTTTTAATCAAGATCTACTGCATGGGGCTATTTGTAAACTGGTACTTACAAAGTCAGCAGGAACATTAAGTTTGTAAAGCTGTAAAATGGATTGCAGTAAAGAGGACACTTGGCTTGAGACCAGGACATCCTTGCCTAGCTTTATGTTATCCGTTGTCTTTCTTTGGCTCGTGGCCACTTGTACGGTCCATTTATCTGTATTTGCAATAATGCAAACAGCTTCTGCAATAGGTTCATCTAGAACTGGATGCTGGAAAAACACATTAGAAGGAGCTGAAACAGCATGTTTTGAAACTGCAGTTCACTTTTTACATATTTATATGAGAAGTCATTATATGGTGACATTAAAAATTTAGCTTCTGTATACAATACAGCGTTAATGTATTAAAAAACATTTTTAAAAAACAGACAACTGTTTTAAAAGCAGACAACAGTTGTATTTATGCAATCAGATGTTCTCTTGCGGACTCCAATAAATGGCATGTTTGAAGCAGATGAAAATTTCCTTCTTTATTCAATGTGCTTGCAACCAACTGATATACTTCCTAGTAACCTATGGCTAACCCTCAACTTTCACCATGGGTCATACGAAGGCTCTGTTTCCTAATCAGGCCATCCTGTGTGTTCCTTCTCTTCATTCCTCCAGCTTTTGCTTTTTTCACTGCCAAACTGAAGTCACATTCTGGAGAACTCATACATTTCCCAACGTTTTGTAGTCCCAGTAAAGGGTATTGCCCAACTGTGAATCTAATGCTTTCTTCATTAGATTCACTTCACTATGGTTCTCACAGGGTCTAATGCACAAGGAAAGATGGACTTTCAAAATATGAAAATATTAAAATGGCTCAATGCATGTCATTATTTTCTTGACGCTGCTTTAAAACAAGCAATAAATGTCTGTTCTAAAGGGGTTTCACCAACTTCCCAATAATCTGGAGCAGCAAACCATTAAAAATCCTTTAAAAGAAGCAGTATCTGCTTGTTTTAATGTGGAATGTGCCAAGCAACTCCGTATGCAACTTATAATGTCTACGGTGATTTCTTAACTTAGGGCAATTCACCTCCAAAGGTTATGCTGTTTGTGCTACACTTCCATGACGAAGAAAGATGATTTTGGTTAATATGTGTGTGTGTGACAGAGCCATAGTTTCAGAAGAAAGAAACCTGGACATCAGAAACTTCTCAAACATTGTAAAGAGATAATAAAAACACACACCTGGTGGTTATTTGATTTCAAAAACACATTAAATTTTAACACATCTGTGCATTTGAAGGTTGCAGTGCCACCTCTAGACACTAGAGGTCAGACATCTCCAACTGGCACTAAGATGGTGGCTGGCAGAGTTTGAGAATGAGTGTGGCGAGTAATGCAGTCAAAACAGTTACAATGTTCACCGTACTTTGCTGTAGGTCAGTAACCTGTAGTGGAGCAGACAGACTCCTCACTCAGGAGTTTTAGGGTAACAGGTGTGCTTAGCAGTCCCAGCAGCCATGTTCAGCACAAATATATCCAATTGTAACAAGTACAAAACTTTGTTTGAAGACTTCAGTGTATCAGACTAAACAATATTCAAATCAGTGTGAATGCTGTCTACTTCTGCCAGAGGTGGAGAAGAGCCTTCTGCAAACTTACTCCACATGACTTGGTATGAACTGCTGGATAACTTAGTGGCTTAGGTCTCTATGGCTATGGAGTCAGATGTTGGGAGTTCAATTCCCCATTGTGCCTCCTTGAGAGGGGCTGGACTCAATGACCATATGGTCCCTTCCAGCTCTGCAATTCAAATGTTGTTGTTATTATTATTGTATACAGTATTGTATTATCTTCATACAGTGCACATACAGAATTCAAATGTTGTTGTTATTATTATTGTACTCTTCATACAGTGCACATACAATTGTGTGAAAAAAGTACATTCTCTTTTAATTCTATAATTGTACACATCAGGATATAATAAAAAATCATCTGGTCCTTTGCAGGACTGAAAAATAGGTAAATACAACCTCAGATGAACAACAACACATAACATATTACACTGTGTCATGATTTATTTAACAAAATAAAGGCAAAATGGAGAAGCCATGTGTGAAAAATTAACCACAGTGGTACCTCGCTTAACGCTAATCCATTCCAGGAAAATCGGCGTTAAGCGAAAACATCGTAAAGCGAAAATAAAAACCCCATTGAAACCCATTCAATGTGTTCCAATGGAGTAAAAACTCACAGTCCAGCGAAGATCCTCCATACGGCAGCCATTTTCGCTGCCGTATAGCGAGGAATCCATCCCTAAACATAGCAGGGATCCATTTTAATTACCTGGTGGCCATTTTGAAACCGCCGATCAGCTGTTTAAAAAACATCATTTTGCGAAGAATTGGTTCCCGAAGTAGGGAACTGCTCATCACAAAGCAAAATTCCCCCATTTAGACCATCGTTCTGCGATCGCCAAATGTTCGTCGTAAAGCAGATTTATCGTAATGTGTGGCAATCGTAAATCGAGGCACCACTGTACACCTGATGATTCAATAGTTTATAGAACAGTTTTTAGCAGCAATAGCTTAAAGTAGTCATTTTCTGTATGGTTTTATCAGCCTCTGACATTGTTGTGGAGGAATTCTGGCCCAGTCTTTACAACATTTGCTTCAGTCCATTGAGGTTTGTGGGCATAAAGTTCCTGCCCACAGCATTTCAATCAGGTTAGGTCTGGAATTTAACTGGGCCATTGCAAAACCTTGATTCTTTTCTTGGTTCTGTTCTTTTTCAGCCATTCTGTTGTAGATTTGTTGGTGTGCTTGTGGTCATTGCCCTGTTGCATGACCCAATTTTGGCCAAGCTTTAGCTGTCAGAGAGATGACCTCACATTTGACTCTAGAATACTTTTGTATACAGAGGAGTTCATGGTCAACTCAATGACTGCAAGGTGCCCAGGTCATGGGGCTGCAACACAAGCCCAAATCATCACCCCTCCACTACTATGCTTGATAGTTGGTATGCTATGTTTGTTTTTTTCCAAACATGATGCTGTGCATTATGGCCAAATTCTCCATGTTGGTCTTGTCTGTCCAAAGGACATTGTTTCAGAAGTTCTTGTGGTTTGTCCTAATGCAACTTTGCAAACTTAAGCCATGCTGCCATGTTCTTTTTAGAGAAAAGAGGCTTTCTTCTGGCAACGCTTCCAAACAAACCATATTTGTCCAGTCTTCTTCTAACTGTACTGTCATGAATGTTAACATTTAACATGCTAACTAAAACCTGCAGTCTGAGATGCAACTCTTGGGATTTCTGCAATTTCTCCGAGCATTGCACAGTCTGACCTTTGCTTGGACGTCCACTCCTGGGAAGATTGGCAACTGTCTCAAATGTTTTCCATTTGTGAATAATCTTCCTCACTATAGAATGATGGACTTCAAATTGTTTGGAAATTCCCTTATAATACTTCCCTGATTGATCACTGCTGATATGTTTCCTCCTCGGCACTGCGTTAACACACACCTGAATGCTCCAGACCAGCAAACGGCTAAAACTTCAGCTTTTATAGAGGTGGTCACTCTTGCTGATTATCAATTACTCAAAGACATTTGGTCAAAAGCACCTAGCTGCCACGTAGCCTCTTAATGGAGCAGTAAGGGTTCACTTAGTTCTTCTCCATTTTAGCTTTATTTTTTGTAAAATAAATTACGACACAGTCTAATGTCATGTGTTGTTGTTCATCTGAGGTTTTATTTATTTATTTATTTATTTATTTATTTTATTTATACCCCACCTATCTGGCCCACCGGACCACTCTATCTAATTTTCAGACCTGATAAGGACTAGATGATTTTCTAAAACTTCAGCGTGAACCCACAGAATTCAAAGAGGGTGTTTTTTTTCACATGACTGTACACACAACTAAGCCTAGTGCAGTTTGCTGTAACAGAGACCATAAATTAAATGTCAATTCTATTACTGAAAGAAAATGATAGATTAGGGTCTATATATTTATCCTGCCCCACTTTTATGCTGGTTTACTGTTATTTTTGCTTAGCCACCAAACCATTCCCCTGACCCATCTTTTTGTCAGTGTGCATTCATAATAATATTTTTTCTAATTTTTTGGGCAGGGGGGAAGCTTAGGGGGCAGACTTACATTCACTGCATGTTTTAACTCAGCTGGTAAGCAGTGCTTAAGTTGCTCTTCATTGCTGATTCCATGCAACACCAAATCAGGGATATATGATGCACAATAGCCACCCAGAAGTGACCTTCCAAAGTGCTTCACTCCTTGATTACTGATTGTGTTGGACCTGAAATACAGGAATTGGTTGTTCCATGCTCAGTAAGGTGTACAGTCTCTTTGTTAAAGCTAGGAAAGAAGTGAATAAGCAGTGCTATTTCAACAAGACTTTAACAACATGTAAATAGACTACAGTACATCAGAACCCAGCTGTGGTGAAGTATCTCTTCTACAAAGCAAATTTCTTTTCCTGGGCTGTCCCAGGACAGTGTTCAATGATATGGCACTTTTCAGTTCACTTCTAAGGTCAGGAACTTTTAGATATTTATTTCTGTACTTTCTGTTTATTCAGGTTTTGTGTACATAGAGAACCTTGGGGAGCATACAAAAAGTGGTAAGAAGGGGTATAAATTTGGCCAACTTGGAAGACTACTTAATTGGAAAAATTCAAGAGACCTTATTTTTTCACACAACAACCTGTTTATCTGAAGAATGCGTCAGATACTAACTCTCAGTTATCACCTAGTAAAGTGGGGAGCCAATGAAGTATCCATAACAAGGGCTGATCAAATCTCCTTTGAATAGCCACATTTAAATTTCTGAAAAATATTTCAATCTTGGAGATTTTGCCCCTATCTTCCAGGTTCTCTTGATGTGGTCACACATGTCAGAAAGGTATCTCCACTTTTGTTTATAGTAAAAGATTTTGTATTGGGATCACCTATACTTTGTAGCAGAATTCTCAAAACCTGTTTGCAAAAACTACATGCACCTGATGAAACAGGTTCTGGTGCAGAAAAACCTGTGCTACAGTAAGACTAAGACTGTACATTTTTGTATGCTGAAATACAGAAAAAGCCAAGCTTTCTTAGTCTTCTTTAACTAAATGAAACAGTACTGCAAAACATCTAATTGTGATGCAAAGTATCAAAAGAATATAAATACAAATACACACATAAAAAGAGAATATGAGAGAGGCAGAATTTATAGTGATACTGGCTATGCCACACCAGCTTTTTGAGAATGTTTGTGGTTCTACCAGGCTTATATGTGTTCAAATTTGGCTAGAGATTCCAAGGCCATCTTGAAACAATGCAAAAACAAAAGAAAGAAAAAAGAAAAGACGTGGAGAATCACACCTTAGGACTGGGTGAAACTTTTTTTTTACCTTGGCAAAGCAAGTTCCACTTCAAAAAGTTCTTCAGGCCTATTGCTGATGGAGCTCAAAGATGGTGCAACTGGAATATATGCACTGCCTTCATCATCACTTTCACCCAGAGCACTGTCAGAGCTCTCATTTCTAGGAATGTTCTCTTCTGTTCTAAAAGGGTGTTTATTTCCAACATCCGTACAATTCTCAGTAATTGCTGGGCCAGATTTTGGCTCATCAGTGGCATTACTGGAGTCACAGTCAAGAGATCCTCTTTCCACGTGTTCAGAGTATGTACTTTTAGCTTCTTCCATGTCTCCTGAATTTATAGTTTTGACTCTACTATCAAATGGAACAGATGGTTGACTTGATGACAAGCAAGGTGCACTTGGTATTCGTATTGTGTTAGATTTCTGCCTTGCCCGTGGTTTAAGACAGAATTCAGATTTTTCCTGTTGGGATTGAGCCATGATATGCACTGAGCTTGACATAATGCATGGAGATTTGCTCTTTTCCCTGAGTGTCCCAAGGGTTTTATCCAGCTCCTTTCTTTGGGTTTCTAAATCAGATTCTGATGAGGTGGAGCTTCCAATCTGGAAAGTAACTTTCTGCAAGGAAGGATGCCTCTGATCAGTCCTCTCAGGACATTTTACAGCTGCTGAGGTGCAAAGGAGCTCCTCTGTTCTACTGTACAGGTTGCCACTATTCATTCCCATAGTCATGTTTTCCAGTTTAGCTTGCCCTCCAGAAACAAGTTCTGATTTGGCAGCACTTCTCCCTTTTTTAAGGTCATCCAGAACTCCTTTTGGGGACCCAACTTGGGGCAAGCAAGAGGATGTCTCTATACAGTGCTCAGAATTATTTCCTTCATGCTTTCCCTTCAAGGAAGCAGCTTCAAGGTAGCTGCCATTTCCTCCAACAGCAGGATTCCCGTGCTTTCTAGACAGAACAGGAGGTATGAGAGCAGGATCATTTCTAACAGTGACAACCACGTAATCGGATTCCTCGGCTTCTCCTTTTTCTAGAGCTGTTGTGATGTTGCTGCCATTCAGGGCTTGCTCTCCTTTTCCTACCTGCCCACTCCAGGTCAGGTGATTCTCTTGCAGCTCAGAGCACCGTAGGAAATATGTAAGAACATAGAGTACGCGTTGAACCAAATCTTTACGTTTTCCAACAATTACAGTCCTTGTCATCCTGACAGGTGAACCTATAGCACCATACAAATCACCTAGACCATGCATTGGAAAAAGAGGGAGATATTCACACCATTTTTAGCCCAAGAGGACAGAGAACAGATGGCTTAAATCTACATATTAATAAAAGCAACCTTAACCAAAACAGATTCACCTGCCCTCAAAAGATGTAAGCAAAGTCAGACGTGAAGTATTAAATCAATCATCCTGACTGACATCAAATAAAAATTCAGGGGCATGATCTAGTTCATGCTCAACTATTTTAAATGTCACTTGTTTCAGTAGCAGACATGAACAGACATGGTAAATCCCCTCTGAAAATCAATGGGGCATGAAGAAGCATACCTTTGGCTGGATTATTAAGGTTGTTTCCTTTATAATAGCAAGGGATTAGAAGAGAAGGCTCCACTCCCTTGGAGTTAATTTCAGATTGTGCCAACACTACCAGAATTCTTCAAGCAAAGTACAATTTATAGTTTTAGTTCTATGCTGGACGTAGATTGATTGCAATTATTGTTGTTTTGTAATGATAATTTGCTTATGATTTATGATGATGCTATGAATTAATAATCTCCAAAAGGTTGTGTTATTAACAAATGTAATATAGAATAGTTTTGTAACAACCTGATATCTTTCAGATTTTTCCCACTGCAACAAGAGGAAGATCAATCAAAATCAGTTTTCATTATAATGATCATGGCAGCTACTCATGAGATTTAATAAAAGAACACTGAGAGATTTATAAACAGCTTATTGGACTAATAACCACCTGAAAGGATTGCTTAAGCATTAGCTTGCACTTCAGCAGTATTGAAGTTACACAGTGCTCTTTACTTAATCATACATTCATTGCTACTGTGATCATTATAGAATTGTCAAGTTGATATTTTGAAGATCTGACAAATGTTACTGACTTAACAGCATTTAAAGGATAAATTTTATACAATTATTACTTTAGTTATTACCTTATTGTAATACTCAAGATGAGTAGGAACGATCTATCAGATACCAGAGAGATGAGGAAATAATTTATCTTCAGATTTTGGCAGCTGAATATACCCATTAAATGAATATTATTTATTTTTATAAGTTTTCCCAGATTCCAAGACACTGTAAAGTGGTATTAACAGAAGATTGGCTGTTTATGTATAAAGACCCTAAATGTGCTCCAATTCCCAATAAAATGAAAACCCACTATTGTATCTTTTTGCCATTTTTTGTTTCTTTGCTAGCAAAGCACCAACTAGAATACAAGCCACTTCTGGGCAACACACTTTAAGAAGGATGGCAGCAAACTAGAACAAGTTCAGAGGAGGGAAACAGGGATGATCAGGGGACTGGAAACCCAACTTCTATGAGGAGAGACTAAAAGAACTGGGCACATTTACCCTTGAGAAAAAAAAGACCGAGGGGAGATATGATAGCACTCTTCAAAAACCTGAAAGATTATCATACAGAGAGGCAGGATCTGTTCTCGACCATCCCAGAGTGCAAGATACATAATAATGGGGTTAGATTTTGGTTGAATATCAGGAAAAAACTCCTAACTATTAGAGCAGTACGACAATGGAACCAATGACCTCAGGAGATGGAAAATATTCCAATGCTGGAAGCATTCAAGAGAAAATCAGACAACCATATGTCAGATATACTTTGATTTGAGCAGGGGGTTGGACTTGATGGCCTTATAGGCCACTTCCAATGCCATTATTCTATGATAAGGAGCTTGCGACATATATAATAGCCACTAGAGGCCACTGCTATGCTTTGTGGCATAAAAGGGACACAAGTAAGTTGCAACTTCTGGATGTAAGGTGCTAGATTTTTTGCCTGATAGAGTTATTTAAAAATTGATTGCTTACATAATCAAATAGATTATATAACATAAATAGATAACATAAATAGATTATGCTAATGGAAAGACTATCAATGCTTTTAAAAGATATATTAAGTAGCATTCTAACTCTAGCTAGCTTTTTGGGGGGAGGAGTAAAAAAATCTTTGTATACTTGCAAACTCCTTTCTGTGCAAATTGAAGAAGACCAGCCATAAACTTTTATCCAGAAATGAATTCTTTTCACTTACCAAGTTGTGCCCAGAGTGGATTATAAGGATGAGATTTTGCTAGCATGTTCACAGACTGAGAGGTGCGTTTCTCAAAGAAGGCCTTGACAGAGAGGTGATCAACTGGCATCACTGTTGGGACCCAGGCCAAGTGATAGGTCAGTACTGCAGTTAACAGAGCAGCTAAGAACCTGTAGAGAAAAACAAGACCATGAGCATTATAATAAACATGCCATTTATGAAGAGAAGAGAAGAGCAAAACAGGACATGTTAAAAGTGACTTACTGGTTTTTGCTGGTCTGCTCTATCAAAATAGTGAATTCCTTGAGAAACTGCTGGCACAATGAAGTCTTTTCTGAAGCCCCAGACATCATGCTAAGCCACACAGGTTCAGCAATCTTTGGAACTGAATAGAGGTTCCAAACTGTAAGTCTGTCAGAAAGGAAGAGAATGAAGAAGAAACCCCTAAGCTAACAGTGCCTGATTTTATGACATTAATCCTGCTTCACCAGCGCTATTGCTGAGGCTCAGAAATTGAGGAATGAATACAGAACTGGCCCAATGCATTTTGCTGCCTGAAATAAATGACATTACCCATGTATGCACCTATTCTGCACACAGAAGCAGAGTAGACTGGTAAGACAGTATCTTTGATCACCCATGAGGATAAGTAACTGACTGCTGCTGCTTTTCCCTAGCTTCTGACAACTGAACAAAGGTGAGATTGCATATGCCTGATTGCCATTCATTCACATAAAAGAGACCCATCATAACTGTACACAGGTTCTTCCAGATCTTATAGCAGGTATGTGAGAGCTGGACACATGTAAATCTGTTTCTTCCTATGTTTATACAGCACTAAAACAGGTGTAATTGAAGGCAATGGGCAGCTTCAGGAAAGGTTTATGACAAGAATATTAGAATCTCAGCAAATGGAAGGACTACGACACAACAGTCTGAAGCAAGCATCCATCTCTGTTCAACATCTCCAAATGTTCCTTGTACAAAAACTCATAAAGAAGTTCTGTGTAGTTCATTAATTCACAACACCTAAAAGGTGTCGACAAAGCACAGCAAGGTCAATTCCTACAGTGTCTGGTGGTACCCCTGGGCTACGAAAAGGCAGCAAGTCATTGACAGCCAGCTTGTATGGGAATGTTTATGTTGTGCCTTTCATCTCTGACTCACATGCTTTTATATAATCCCTCCCCACCCTCCCCATCTTGGCTGACCCCAGTCAGGTGCTTAAATAATGCACTGAAATATGGTCAGATGATCAAACCCAAACAGAAACTATACTGAAGCATGAAATCCTTCTGCAAATAATAATCCTTTTCAAACTCCAGCAGCGTTCTTAATTTCATCACTGGGCAGAACTATTTCTTTGTGATTGCAATTTGACATATCTCCTGAACACAGCTTTGAAGAATGTGCAGCTATACTTCTGCCTTATAAAAACTAGTTATTACTGATCTCTGGGACTGAGATATTTTCCACAAGATTCAGAATGAGTAATGGCCTGGGGCAGTACTGGTGGACTCACTTATACAGTATTATAACAATATTACAGAAAATCACTGCATGAAAATGTTAGAGAAATTCATTTTAAAAACAGTTCTTTAAAAGTCACTTTACACTTATTTTCACACATCAGAATTAATTTCCACATTAAATAAAAATTTAGGCCACCAGCCCACAAACACACATTGTAGTGGATCTATAGGCCAAGCTGTATGTGTGTGTGTGTGTGGGGGGGTCTATTAATCTATTTAAAATCAGGGTGCAAACTAGGGCAAACTGAAAAAAAACAGAGCTACTGTGAACTATTCTGACAATATTGATTATATAATTCTGTAACTTCATAAGCAAGGGTGTGGCAGGGAATAAGTATTCCCCGTCTCTTTTAACTTTGTTGTCCCATGGAGCACATGTCACAGATGCATTGAAAATGGCAAGTTTTTCAAACGATTTTCTACAGAAAATTGTAGATGGGATATGTTATGAGCCTTGAAGTCGCATCCAACTTGCAGTGACCCCAACATGGTTTTCAAGGAAAGTGAGATATTTAAGGAGTGGTTTTTATCTGAAAGCAGTAAGTTATATATAGTCCATCTTATATGGTAGGATCCTATAACCACTGCTGACAGATTAAATATATAAATCTTAATGGGTCTGAAAACACACATGAATTTGCTTAATGGTTCCTATTGTCCCTCTTCCCAGGCCATCTCTACTGCCAGAAGCTTCTTTTCAAAAACACTGGATCTGTGCCACTACGTGTGTACTAACTTAACATGAGGGCTTAGGGCTACCCAACTTCAATTTATACACTGAGTATCTTTTATGACGGAAAAAGAGAGGTTACTTACCTGTAACTCTGGTTCTTTGAGTGGTCATCTGTGAATTCGCACTAATGGGTTTAATCAGTGCTTGCACAGAGGTCTCTGGAATATTCTAGAGCTGAAACATGCGTTCGCTAGGACCGCCCCCCCAGTACACGTGGTCTGCCCATTGTGATTACCTCAGTTCTCCAAGAGCCCGCCACTGCCTGAAGAATTAAACAGATGTGGCAGACAGAGGGGAGGACGGGCAGGAAGTGTGAATTCACAGATGACCATTCGAAGAACCAGAGTTACAAGTAAGTAATCTCTCTTTGTTCTTCATGGTCTCTGTGAATGTACACTAATGGGTGATTAAGAAGCTTACTTTACAGGTGGAGGGACGTCACACGGCAAGACCAAAGACAAGACTGCATGACCGAAAGCGGCATCTGTCTTGGCCCGTACATCCAAACAATAATGGGATGCAAATGTTGATGGAGTCGACCAGGTGGCAGCCTTGCAAATATCTGGAACAGGCACTCCTCAAAGACAAGTCGTGGAGGCAGCCATTGCCCTGGTGAAGTGAGCCCTGACATCAGCAGGCAGAGGTTTCCGGGCCAGCTGGTAAGAGAGGCTGTGAGAGAACAATATTGGAATGGCCGGGGTCCTCAATGTGGTGTTTAGCTTTTCTCTTCTGCAACAGAACTGGATCAGCAGGGACAGATATAGATCCAGATTCACACCCAGACACAGAGCCACCCAGAGATTTGGGGCTTGAACAGGCTGAATAAAGCAGTACAGTCACCTCAGCAGAGGTATCCGCCCAAGATGGAGATTGAGCCAGCAAAGGAGAGGGCGGTTGACTGGACGGAGGCAGAATGGATTCACAGTCGGTATCGAGATCAATAGGAGGTTGACTCTGTATGGAAGGATGCCGTACCGGAGGTTGAAAGTCTATAGAAGACTTTTTAGTTTTCTTCGGTTTGGTACCAATTGGTTTCGAAGTAGTTTAGGTGTCGGGGGTCGATTGAGACATCGATCCAGAAGACTTTGACTTAGGCAATGTAGATTTAGATTTAGGAGACTGTAACGGCGAATTAGTGACTGAAGAAACTGGTGGCGGTTGTGAAGCCTGAGTGTCATCCGTCTTAGGTGGTGGACGAAGAGATTGCTCCCACAAAAAAGATTTAAGCCATTGTTGATGGAGCTTGATGGCTTGCTTAGTACAGTTTTTGCAATAGGAACAAGAAGCTGGTTGATGTGATTCCCCCACCCCCCCAAAAAAGGGACAAAAATTGTAGCTGTCAGAAACAGGCAACTTATTAGCGCACCTCTTATATGGCCCTGTCGGGGCCATAAAAGGCGGGAAGGGGAGGAAAGAAAAAAAGGGGGGGGGAATGGCGAAAGGAAACAGTATGACAGAAAATCACAAGAAGTAAAAAAAATATATTAAAGAACAGTCTATTATTAAATAAGCACGATAAATTATACTTTCTCAAGAAAAAGAACCAATCTGCATGAACGGAGAGCTCAGAGAGATGAGAGACCTCAGCGGCAGCAAAAAGGAACGGAGGTAATCACCACTGGTGGGCCACATGTACTGGGAGGGGCACTCCTAGGCGGCAAAAAGGAACTGAGGTAATCACCACTGGTGGGCCACAGGTACTGGGAGGGGCAGTCCTCGCGAACGTATGTTTCAGCTTTAGAATATTCTGGAGACCTCTGCGCAAGCGCAGATTAAACCCATTAGTGTGCATTCACAGAGACCACAAAGAAGAAACTCAACTTCATTTCAATGATGGAAAGACGTGTACATAGGCAAACTATGAAGATGAGCTCAAAAGGAAGAGAATTGAAACAAGTGACACCTGAACTGGATTCACCTTATCAAGAAACCCAGCTCTACTGCTCATCTGTTTCTTTATAATTCCATATAGCAGCAACATACCTGAATTCATTCAAGGCTTCCATGACCCAGCTGATGTAAACTTGTACTCTTTGGCTAGTTTCTGCTATTTTTCTACAGGAGATCATAGCCTTGGAGAGGAAAAAAAATAAAATACTGGGTAATTTCATTAAAAGGTTTACTGCATACCGTAAAAATTAAGAGAGAGAAATTAAGCACTCAGACCAAGCTTAAGGACTAGGACCCTTCAGTACTCCTCCTCTTGGTACCTGCTTAGATTTAAAATGCCTCTAAAGCACAGGCAAGCAACTTCAGTAGGTCAAGGAGCCAGCTCTATATACACACACACAGACCTGTGGCTGGCTGCATCATTTCTAAAAATGTGATTTTCCCCCTTCCTGTTTTTTTTTTAACCAAGTGATTGAAAGTTCACTTCCAGTTTTGGAAACAAAACAAAATATAAAATATACCAACATAGAGAAAAAGATTGCTGAGTTTTATTTAGAGAAGTACCAGTTTTAAAAGTTTCCCCATGCTCAATATTCTGGCAGAGGATGGGATTCCAGAGGCTGCAACAAGGACCTCAAGCTGCCCACCCTGCTCTAGAATGGCAGGTGGGTCCAAGAGCTATATGTCTAAAGCTCTCTATGTATAAGACTTTAATACACTTCATGAAACCACATTAAAAATAATTAAATACAGTAGTTGCAGGGTAATGGCAATGTGAGCAAGGAAAGATGCTAGGGCATAAATAAAGTTGCTCAGTTATTCCACACGTAACAATTCTTAAACATCACTGATTACACAAGGCTCAACTTCGAGTCCTTTCAAGCCGGGCAGGCCTCTCTCATAAATACAAAAATATATTCAGAACTAGTGTGGTGACACAGAGAAGACCTTTTGAATTTGAAGTTAAAGTGTCCACATTCAAACACCAACTCATGCTGCCTTCAGAAACATCCTTCAAGTTGCAGCATCAACACTGGAACTGGAGTATGTGACATTTGGAGTGGGGCTGTTTGTCCCCCTCTCACTCCCTCACTGATAAACACCATGTGAGTGATTTGATGGCACTTCACTCAAAGGAGTCATCAAAGTCCCTGAGATCTGACTGACAGATTTGCTCTCATCCCAACTTGCTTCTCAGGTAGTAGCAATCATAATCTAGAATAAGTTTCAACCATTGGTTTACCATTTCAATTGCACTTTTAAGCTTGCTCATATGTGATTCAAATAAAGGGAAGTGAGAGAAGAAGAAATCTTGGAAGTCCCTCTGAGCCTCTTCCTTTTCTGGAAGGGAGAAAATAATGCTGATGGCAATTTTCTTTCTTCGAATGGTTGCAGGATTGAGGCCACAACTTTCATCAGCCATACTGAATGTTTCTTCTGTTGACCTACAAGGAATGAAAGTAGCAGAACAGCTGTACGCACATTTAAAAAGCAACAAAGGGGGGTTTGTTGAGGTTACATATATTCCATAGTAGGTTAAACGAGGGCTCTATATCTACACAACCTTTTATAAAATCAATTTGCTTACAAGCACAGAGGCATTTTGAGATGTGGAATACCTTTCCTTAGACCACCAAAGGTATCCTCATGCACAACATTTTAGCCATTAAGCTAATGCACCTTTAAATTGGAGATGGGCACTCTAGCCAATTGCATCTCTGTGGCAGAAATCTGACAGCAATCAGGAGAAACTGACATTCAAGCAAGCATTTTATCGTACTTTCCCATGTATAAAACAACACGTTTTCCTTAAATAATTAAACAAAAAATTGAGGGTCATTTTATAACAGAAGGCAGCTGCTTTTTCCTGCCTTTTGCGAAGCCACGGGGCTTAGCAAAAAGGAAGGGAAGGCTCCCTTTGGGTAAAGGCTGCACAATCGCAGCCTTTTGATCCTGAACCCCTTTCATGGCTGCTTAAGGATCAAAGGGCTGCGATCATGTAGCCTTTATCTGAAGAGAGCCTTCCCTTCCTTTTTGCTAAGTCCCATGGCTTAGCAAGAGGAAGGGAAAAGCAGGGGTCAAATTTTCTAATTTGGTGTTAGAAAAGGGGAGATCGCCTTATACACTGGGTTGTCTTATAAACGGAAAAATGTGGTACTTGTTTTAATGATATTGAAGTGATTTACCACCATAATTGCTACCATCCTGCTGTGAATGGTTTTTCCCTGCCTGCCATCTAATCTGGAGGCAGCAAAATGCTACAATGTGTTTAAGGCAAGCAAAATGAGGCACATAAGAAGCCTTGGTTTAAGGGGCTAAAAATGTCCCATATAGCTGTATGTAGTCTAGGAGTGGCATAGTTCTCTTCCGTGCTTCAAAAGAATAATCATCTTCAAGACAAAATTTCAGTTCAGATGTTGCTATAGCTAAACCACTCCATTAACATATGAGGATCTTTTCCTCTCTTTTTTCCTTAAATATCCTGCCTTTTAGGGTCAAACACATTACTGAGTTAATATCTTGGGCTTAAGGGAAAACATTTACCATAGAAATCAGTTTAACCTGCCTGCCCTCTGCAGTTTGAACACTGCTGCCTGAGCTGGCAACAGATAAGCAACTAAAAGACCTTTTAAAACTTCCCAAAGTTACAAGCCTATATAGTCTGTCTGTGAGCAGACATTTATAGGATTTTGCTGTAAAATGTATTTCAGTGAATAAGAATAGGACTCAAAATATCCTTTTTAAAAAGTCACCAACAGTTTAAACAAAAACTCTTTAATAAACTAGGTGCCAATGCACTGTGGTATGCTTTAAAAGCTGTTTCCATCTATTCATTTTTATCAATTACTCTTTCATGTCTGGTGCATTGCAGGCCCAATTCCAACAAAGTTCATAATGATACAATAATGAAAACAGAGATAAGACAGGAACGCCTTGACTCTGAACAGGTGATTTCAAATCGCCCGAGTTAAACATGAAAATCAAAAAAGCAGCAAGACCTGGCCAAATGCACAATGCACTTGTCATCAATGCTGATAGCAGCCACGCCCACCTCAAAGTCACTTAGAGCTGAAATCATTGGGCAAGGCTTCTTCCACTAACTCATAGGTAAGTTCATACGTGACTGAAATATTTATGGCCAAAAACACAATTCAACTGAAAAAATACTAAACATGTGGCTTGTTTAGGTCACATTTATTCTGCAAGTGGATTGGGGCTGTTAAGAAAATAAATCCACATTCTGCATCCCAGGAGATGTTCCTCTTTCTGGCTCTGTGGGGTTAACAGAATCAGATACTAAACCAGAGCAGAGAGAAAGTGTGGTCTTCCAAATTTTGTTGGATTGCAATTCCTATCAGCCCTAATCAGCATAACTGCGTATGAGGAATGATGGGGAGTTCCTAGCATCTCAAGGGCCACATGTTCCCAACCCCTGCACTGAATCTATAAAGCAATACAAATATGACATCAGTAAATTCACTAAGGATTTGTATTTCTGAAAATTTCTTTCGGGATGTTTGTTATGGTACCACTTCTTGTCCATATTAGATGATAGAAGGTTTAAGGTGCCTTTTTGAAAAGTGTCTTACTACCTATTATTAAAGTAGGTGTGTGTCATATATCAAGTTCATTCCACATCTCTCACCTTTTAGTTCAACTCCCTGTCCACCATACAACAATGGCTGTCTAATATAAGTAATTGAAGGTATTTTAATATTTCTTGTACCTAAAACCTTCTATAATCCATGTATGCAAACCTTCTGTATCAACACACTAGAGAACAGGCAAACTTGGTTTATCTCTTTCAAAAGCCTAAATGTTTTTTCCCCTGTTCAAACCTTCATCAAACCTAGTTTTTGAACATGAGAACTTCCAAACCATGGTCTATTCATACAGCTGAATTCCAGGAAGGCAATACCCATGGAACTTATTATCCAGGAACATACCATCTAGGAATAATACCATTTTCCAAACTTGTGGTTTGACTTCGAAGCCAACGGCGTTGGTAGCTACTGGAAGAGGAGGTTGGAGATGGCAACGGGGTCATCAAAAGGCTGCTCAAGGATGCTGGCAAGAAAGCAGAGACATGTCAATTACTGCCAAAGTTCTCACTTGAGTAATAATTTCTTTTGGCCTCATGGGAGTTTGAATCCCACTTCTGTTAACTGCAGAAGTCAACTACAGACTTTTCTTTCTGGGCAGGTGGGGAGATGTGGTGGGGGCAAGGGAGAAAAAGACACGCAGTTCATCCAAAATGTAGTTATAATATAGAAACATAAAGCAAGAGACTGTTTATTACTCCTTGAGATTAGAATGAATTTGGTGAAAAACACCCTACATACTGGTCTTGCTGAACTATCCAGCAACTAAAGAGAGCAAGCACTCCCATTACGCCTAAAAGGAAAGTTACAGTTGTTATTCTGTAGAAATTTGGCTAAGTGATTATGTTGCCATGTTTCAATAGCAAATGTGGCAATAAAAACCCAAGTAGTGTCAATATGACAATCATCTTTCTAAACAAGTAATGTGCTGGTCACTGCCTAGAACAAGGTGGCACATCTGAGAGAGACCTACTACCTGCATTAAAAACAAAAAATAAAACAAGCAAAAAAAAAGAATAAGACAAAAGTTAGAATGAAGAATAGTAGTGTGTTTGGAGAAGCAGATAAACATGAAGAGGGTAGTGAGGAGCTTATGTGTTCTGCTCTGCAGAAAATCTAAGCAAACACATAAGAAAACAAAAACTCTGTTTCTAAATAATGGTTAGAATCCTACTGGATATTATTGCCAGGGCAAGTCCCATGTGGCAAACTGTTGCTAATATCCCTTGTCACCTGCCCATCACATGAGCTGCTGCATGATAAGGAATACACTTGGCAACTTGTCAAGTAGAAGCCATTTGCTGCTGCAATTTATATCACTGCACTTATGGAGGGAAAACCAACTAACAGGGTTCTGGCCACAGAATCCATTCTGTTGTATAGCATGTAACTAAAACCAGCTTTGCTGCCTTTTGCTAATAGGGCAGAAAAGTCCAAAAGAATGGATACCTGATCGAGCTATGCCACTGTCTCTGTCTTCATTCTGCCCCCTGCTAGGCATGTCAACAGGTGTGCTATGCGCTAAATTTAAGAAAAAAGCCAAAGGTTAAACAGGTGTTTTATTTACAAAACCAAGCTTCATATCAGCAGTTTGGCTCCAGGAGAGCTATTTCTAAAAACTCCAGATATAAAGATAAAGATATAACAAAGACTGCAAAAAAGATACAACATTAAGAACAAAGCTTTTTTCAGAAAAAAATTCTTGAAATATTCATTAAGATTGTTTTGGCAGTCCTTACATTTGCAAAACAACTGAGGGGGAAAAGCTCTTCCCCTTTGGACACCCTCCTCCTCCTCTTTGTGGCCCTTTCACCCAGCTAGCTAGTTATTTGAAGAACAGGAATCAGTGGCTTACTTCTCTGGCTGTGGAGCCAGAAGTTGAGAGTTCAATCCTCCACTGTGCCTCCTTGAGAGGGGCTGGACTTGATTATTAGAGATGGGGGTATTCATATACGAATATCCCCAGACAGGTGGCATTAACGAGGATCCGGTCCACTCACTGATCTGCAGCGGATGCAGATGGTGCGATTCTACAAATGGCGATGCAGCGCACAATCCGCTCGCCCCTCTTCGACCTTGCAATGACTCTTGTCCTCCCGCCTCCTGCCAAGAGTAGCGAGCGGACCCGCTCGCCCCTCTTCGACCTTGCAATGACGCTTGTCCTCCTGCCAAGAGTAGCGAGCGGATTGCACACTGCAGAGCCATTCATAGAATTGTTCCATCTGTGTCTGCAGCGGATTGGTGAGTGGACCGTCCGGCCCCATGGGGCCAGACCCTCATTAACGACACCTGTGCGGGGATATTCATATTCGTATACGAATATCGCCATCTCTATTGATGATCCATAGGGTCTCCTCCAGCTCTGCAGTTCAAAGCTGGTTAAATATGGTATACATTTCAGTGCACAGTTCCATTGCTGTAGCTCATTGTGTTTTCTCCATGGAGTATTCACAAGTGGGAAGCTGTACCTGTTGTGTTTTCTCCATGGAGTATTCACAAGTTCCTCCCCAGCAGTGGGAAGCTGTACCTATAAGCACTGGCAGCCTGATCCTTGGGATGGCCTTCCCTGTAACACTAACCTCTAGTCTCTGTCAGTAAGTGCTAAGTTGCAAGCCTGACATTCTAAACTATACAAAGTGCCTTGTGATGTCCAGTAACATCATCCCTCCTGATTTTTTTCCCCATGAAACTGCCAGGCGACTTGGGAACCCAGTTTTACAGAAATGCCACATTAGACATTTTCAAGGACAACATCAAACATCCACAGATTCTAGTGTGTACATTCTTGCACCTTGGGGATGTTATAATATGCAGCAAGACAGCAGAGCCCCTAGGGGGAAGATCACAAATTCAGCTTTTACCATTTACAATGGTGCCTCGCTTAGCGACATTAATTCATCGCTGTAGAGCGAAAACGTCGTAAAGCGAAATAAAAAATCCCATTGAAATGCACTGAAAACCTTTCAATGCGTTCCAATGGGCTGAAAACTCCCAGTCCAGCCAAGATCCTCCATAGGGGCAGCCATTTTCCATGCCTGTGCAGCGAGGAATCTGCTCCTAAGCACGGGGGGAGCCATTTTCTTCAGCCGGCGGCCATTTTGAATCCCGACGATCAGCTGTTTTTGATCGTCGTAAAGCGAAAATCAGTTCCCGAAGCAGGGAACCGATCATCGCAAAGTGGTTTTTGCCCATTGGAATCATCATTTTGCGATCACAAAAGCGATCACAAAAACCTCACCGTCAAGTGGATTCATCATTAAAGGGGGTAAGCGTAAAGTGGGGCACGACTGTACTGTCTTGTTCAAAATGTGATAAAGTGGTAATTATGTCTACATATCCTCTCGTTGTTGCATATAAACAGCTTGCTGCTTATATAGCTACTTAGGGAGGTAATCGTAAAGTGGGGCATGACTGTATTGTCTTGTTCAAAACGTGATAAAGTGGTAATTATGTCTACATCTCCTCTCGTTGCATATAAACAGCTTGCTGCTTATATGGCTACTTAGGGAAAAAATAAGAAAAAGTACATTTTCCCCTTTCCTAAGATGAGAGGTCAAGCTGAGAAAGTGTGACTGGCCCAAGTCACCAAATTAATCTTATAGCTCACTGTAGATCTGAATCATCGTCTCCTGAATCCTACAGTCCAACTTCTAAGGGACACCACTAACAATTCTAACTCCATGAGGATAACATTCAAATTAGTCTCACCCAACATTAAGAAAAGGAGATTGCTCAATTAGACTGCATGCAAGATTTGTAACCCATGTGACATTCTCTCAACCAGTCTATAGTCTGTTCATTTCTAAAAGATCATAATTTCAATTTTAATTTTAGGCTCCTTCAGCATTTGAAGGGAAGGATTAAAAAAAGCTTGCCAGAAAGTGAGAAGGCAAGAAAAGAAAGACATACACACTCCAACATTATTATGTGGGAGAAACAGAATAAGCAGTGTAACATTACACCAGCTGATGATGAATTTGGAAAAACAACTGCTCTCAAAATTGGAAGGGCACACCTATCTGTGAATAACTGCTATACTAAAAAGAACTATTAGCTGGCACACATTGCTGTAAACATGCTACAAGGAAGAGGAATACAATTAATGTAGCTCAATATTTTAGGAGGTTTCTCAGATACAAAAATCCATTAAAACGACAGTAACTTCTCAGCCCATTCTGTTTATTTAGAGAGCAGTTATTGATCCCACACCAATAGATTTCACAGGAAGCAGAACATGCGTGGAGGGGCGCATCACACTGTGGCCGGCATTCCACACAAACCTGCAAAGAAGGAAGCACTCCGGATGAGCCGGAGGGGACCCCCTTCAGGCACACCATGCAGCAGTTTGTTGCTACACAGCTGTAACACACCTAAAGACAACAACATGGGACATACACAAAACAAAGAGAAATGATCAGATTAAATGGCAACATAAGGCAAACAAATTAAAACCTGCACTGCACACTAAAACATACAATAAAATAGTTTAATACATTTACCTAGACTGCTTGCATTACGACAGAGGCCCAGACCATTTAGATTAGAGTTCTGTCTTGCTAAACACGGGTCTTGATTGACATGTTCCAAACTATCCTGCAAGCTTAAAAAAAAAAGATCCAAAAAAGAGTTACCAAGAAGCAATTAGAGTTTACTTTGTTATCAGGCATGTTCTTCTCCATCTTAATTGGCTATCCACACTCTGAAAACTATAGTTTAAAGAAGAGGGCATCCATTTCTCCATACAAGATGGCACTGCAGCAAGCTATTCCCACTAAAAATCCCTTCCTCAGCACCTAGACAGTGATCAAAGACCCTCCTTAATTCAAAAGGCTTTGGCTGCTAATTGAAAGGGGATGTAGAGAGGCCAGCCTAGGATCCCTTTGAACAGACCTCCATAGTCTGAGAGCTGCCAATGAGAAGGTCTTGTACTGTTTCTTCACAGCATATGCCTCTAAGAGTATCTCCCAAAGATCGGGGAATGTGCTCTTCAGACAGTCTGGATTCATTCATTCATTTAATTTAATTTATACCTTGCCCATCTAGACCAAAGTCTACTCTGGGCGGCTAACAACAACCCAAATAATAACAATATAAAATAGAACTACAGTAATACAATTGAAGATGGAAATAAATAAATTAGGTATTGACAGGAGGGAAAGCCTACCTAAAGAGCCAGGTCTTGAGTTATAGCCATACAGGCCATAACTAGTACTCTGAATTATGCACACAGACAGGCCACTAGCCAGTGAAGCTGTTGTAACACAAGAGTTGTAAGCTTCCTGTAACTATCCCCAATCAACATTCTGGCTACATCATTTTGAACCAGCTTTATTCCTACATCCTTTTGGAAAGCTGCTCCACTTGCTTATATTAAATTTAAGAGGATGTTCTTTTAAAAAAGAAGAAGATAATTATGTGGTTAAGCAATGTACCTTGACTCACCTGTATAATATTGAACATGAGACAAGGAAGCAGGAACATGAAGAAGAGAAGGAAGGCAGGGGGGAAAATTGTCTCATTATTCAGAGACCAAACCACACATTCAGCTCTCTTTAAAGCAACAGATCACAAAGCTGTTTGTTGCAAAAGCAGCACATAACAATCCAGGGATTGGTGCTAATATTCAACAGACTTCACTCTGGAATTCTATCCTTGCAAACCAGATCATACTGTTATCCTAATGGCTGGCAGAAGAATAGAAAGAAAAGGAGGAAACAGCACCAGTCATAACCCGGTTTTCCCACCCAATTACCACAGCTCTGAGCTGTAGTAAGGACTAAAGCTAGCTAGCTAGCTAGCTAGCTAGCTAAATAAATAAATAAATAAATACATCTCTCTCTCTCTCTCTCTGGTTGAGCAAAGTTTTGAACTTGGGTCTCCTTGATTCTAGTGTCCATGGTAGCCTAAACACTATATCATGGAATTTCTACCACATAAGAAATCTTAAAGTGATTTAAAGACGAAGATACACAAACAGCCACAGATAGTAAAGCAAAACACATAAAATGCATTTATCTCCATGCCACCACCTTCACAGGTGCATCTGGTGAATACACAAGAGAGTGCCTTCTCTGTCACATTCTCCCAAGCTGTGGGACTCCATTCCAAAGGAGGCCAGGCTACCCCACCCTTTGCTGTCCCTCCACAGGCAGGCAAACACTTCTCTCTTTAGGCAGGCTTTTCTTAGTGATTGGCTAAGAGATGGGCTGTTGTTTTGTTTTGTTTTTCTGTTTATTTTCCACTTCCAGTTTCCCTATTGTTTGTTTTTAATATTGTACACTCTGCCTCAAGTTCTCTTGAGAAGAAAAGCAGGGTATAAATATTTTAAATAAACAACAGAATTCATAATTATCATAACAAACAAACAAACAAAAATAACTGTGAGTTCAAGACCGGACTCGGCATGTAGAGGAGTTCCCCTACAATACTGATGTTTATATTTCCCCACAGCCCATCCAGCCCAGGATGAACACCATGTGCTCAAAGGAGACACAATAAATAAATGTGTCATTATCTGCTACAAAAGGAGAACAGTGCAAGCTCCCTTGGGGATAATCTTCCAAAAGCATGGGTTAACCCCAGAAAAGAGTTCTGTTCCTGAACCCACCCAACAATGTCTCTAGGAGGAGGCACAGAGAAAAGCCTCAGGTGCCTGGGCAGGTTTATATGGGGTGAAGGGCCATTTGAGAACAGCGGTTCTGAGTTATAAGTCTGTTCCTGAAACAAAATGGCAACCTGTACTATTAGGCCCTCATGAATAATTAGTTACTTCATATAAACCCTACTCAGTTTTTAAAGCAAGGCTTGAAAACATGGCTCATTCTGGATACTGTTGGACTGCAATTCCCACAATCCCTCAACATTATTGACACTGCCTAGGGCTAGTGGAAGAATATTTCAAGAACATCTGAGAAGGTTTGGCATTTCCTATCCCTTCCTTAACACACCCACATAACGTAAGAGAATAAGGAGATGCTGGCTGGCCTCTCTCTCTTCCTTCATAATCAATCAATCAATCAATCAATCTCTCTGTATTTGTGTGGGTGCACAGTAGACCCCACACACATGCATCAGGCTGCCCTCAAAGCAGGGTATAAATATTTTAAATAAACAACAGAATTCATAATTATCATAACAAACAAACAAACAAAAATAACTGTGAGTTCAAGACCGGACTCGGCATGTAGAGGAGTTCCCCTACAATACTGATGTTTATATTTCCCCACAGCCCATCCAGCCCAGGATGAACACCATGTGCTCAAAGGAGACACAATAAATAAATGTGTCATTATCTGCTACAAAAGGAGAACAGTGCAAGCTCCCTTGGGGATAATCTTCCAAAAGCATGGGTTAACCCCAGAAAAGAGTTCTGTTCCTGAACCCACCCAACAATGTCTCTAGGAGGAGGCACAGAGAAAAGCCTCAGGTGCCTGGGCAGGTTTATATGGGGTGAAGGGCCATTTGAGAACAGCGGTTCTGAGTTATAAGTCTGTTCCTGAAACAAAATGGCAACCTGTACTATTAGGCCCTCATGAATAATTAGTTACTTCATATAAACCCTACTCAGTTTTTAAAGCAAGGCTTGAAAACATGGCTCATTCTGGATACTGTTGGACTGCAATTCCCACAATCCCTCAACATTATTGACACTGCCTAGGGCTAGTGGAAGAATATTTCAAGAACATCTGAGAAGGTTTGGCATTTCCTATCCCTTCCTTAACACACCCACATAACGTAAGAGAATAAGGAGATGCTGGCTGGCCTCTCTCTCTTCCTTCATATTGTCACCAGGTGGCAAGCAGCAACAGAGACGTTCTGTATCTGTGTGGGTGCACAGTAGACCCTACACACATGCATCAGGCTGCCCTCTACAGATATTTACCTGAGGTAAATAATAAGGCCATTAAAAAGGGAATGGAATCTACTACCATGCTCTTGCTCTTCCCATGATTCCAATTGTATGAAGGCCTTTATGTCTGGCTAAAGCTACAAATTCTCTGCTACGAAGAGAGCTATGGTTTGGGCCCAACTTTCAAATTCATGCACATATGAAACATCAAGGCCTGTGGCCTACCCACACAAAATCACTTCTAGTGGTTCATGTTTGATTTAATTCAGCAATGGGAAATGTGCCATTCCCTAGATTTTGCTGGAAGTGCAACAATTCCCATTGCTCCTAACCAGCACAGAGAATGGGGAAGATCTTCCATTGTTGTTACACGCTGCCATGTCAGAACCAACTTACAGTGACCCTAACAGAGTTTTCAAAGTGAGACATTCAAGGAGTGTTTTCACCTGCTCCACTCCCCAAGTTAGTTTTCATGGCTGAGCAGGGGTTTGAACCCTGTGTTCCAGAGTCCTATCCACTACACCACACTGGGAACTCCAAAGAGTTCCTACCTCTATTTAATCTAAAGCACATTAAAATAAAATGAACAGATGGTATGAACCAACCAACAAACACTGAAAGAACTCACAAGTGAATCAGAAAAGGAAGACAGGCTCACCTATTTGTGCTCCCACAGAAGCTGCCTACTCTGGCACAGAATACTTTACTCATCATGAGCTGTGGAGGAGAGCTGAAAGGATAAACAGTATGATTGGTGATTCTGCAGTTCCGATAGCAATTTCTGGCAGCACAATAAGGAACTGAAGCACTGGCTTACCGGATATAGTGGATTTTCAGTGTAGAGCCCTTGTAACTCATTGCTACTGAACCAAACATCATTTCACCCAACATATTCACATCAGAAGCTGGCCTGGTATACTATAAGGAAGAAGGAGTTATGTTACTTCCAGAAAATTCACCATAAGGTGCTTCTAAATGAACTCACTATATTGACTCCCAAATAAAACATTAATAGAAACAAAAGCTTGATAGAAGTAGGCATGAGTGGTTGGTAAAGGTCTGCCTAGTTGGCACCACTATCAGTTGCTGTCCTTTAAATTAGGGGTCCCCAAACCCAGCCCGTGGTCTTGGCCAGACTGGGTCGTGGAGACAGATCTTCTGCCTCCCCCCGGAAGTACACCCGCACAGCCCCTTCGTGCATGTGCGCAAGTGCCCCCCCCGCAAGCACCCATCACCTCTCCATGCATGCGCGTGAGCACGGCGGTGCCCCGCCCCCGCACACAGACCCCATCCCCCCCAACCAGTCTGCAATGTCAAAAAGGTTGGGGACCACTGCTCTAAATGGAAGATATGACAGCATTACGTATTTGTGTATTCAGAAATAAAAATAAATTTAATATTTATACAAAAAATAATATGATTTTATCTTGTTAAAATAGTAGTTTGGGATACTGGATTTTGTTTTGTTTTAATCTTTCACCCTCATTTCAATCTGCCTGCTGGTTTTTTAGTCCTACACAGCAACTGAAAATCCAAAATCCAAATCAGGTAATCCATGATTCGAAATCTGCTTCTGCCATGAACAGTCTGCAATGTACAACCACAGATTCCTCAACCACAGATTCCTTTCCATTCATAGTTACATTACTGAGTTTTTAGAAAGACAAAGAGTATATGTAACTATAAGGGGTATACTGACAGTTGTGTTTGGTGTACCGATGAACCCCCATGCTTAATAGCAACAAATATATGTATTATCAATACGATAAAGCTCCTCAAAGTTGCACCGTAGAACAACAAATCCGCATAGCGATTAGGTTTTAGCGATCGCAAATGCGATCGCAAAACGATGGCCCCAATGGGCGAAACCCGCATAGTGAAGGTCGGTAAGCGTTTCGCTTACCGACCTTCGCTTTGCGACCCGCGGATCAGCTGTTCAGCGGCTCCAAAATGGCCGCCGGAAGCCCTGAAATGGCCGCGCGGAGCGTTTTTGTGCCCTCAGTAAGCGAGGGGAGGGCGCAAAAATGGCTGCCGGCTATAGGAAAACATCGCTAACTGTGAGTTTTCGGCCCATTTGGAACCCATTAAACGATGTTTAATGCGTTCCAATGGGTTTTCTTGATCCGTTCAGTGATGTTTTCACATAGCGAGGGTTAATCTGGAATGGATTTACCTCGCTATGCAAGGCACCACTGTATATGTATTATCAATAGGATAAGCTCCTCAAAGTGCTTAATAAATGTAAGCAAATATAAAGAGATATAAAGAGCATGCCGCCTGGTAATTCCCACATCCCATTCTTGGTTAGTAGTTCAATTCCCCACTGTGCTTCCTTGACAGAGGCTGGACTCAATGATCCAGAGGGTTTCTCCCAGCTCTGCAGTTCTCAGCTTATACAGAGTTAAGTTGTCTCTGAGGAGGAACTTGGAACTACTCAGCTGGTTTGAACCGGTGAGGTATACAGATTCCACACTGGCATCTGGAAGATCCAATTCAAAACAGATTGACCGATTCTCTCGGTTAAATCTACCTCACAGGATTCTTGTGACAAAAAAAAAGGGAGGAACAGACATATACATTGTCTGGTGCTCATGATATGAAGGTGGAAGGAAGCTCCGCTGCCACCACATTGCCACCACTTTTTGCAGTGTCTGGCCAATCTGATTCACCTATGGCCACAAAGGGCTGACACAGCAATTTTAGAGAATGGTTACTACTTATTGAACATAAAGTCACAGAGGTGTTTTTTTAAGTATCAGTGAGACACAATTTAAATACTGGAACTAAAAGTGAACATAGAAACTCGATCTGTACCATTTCCTGACATATGTAGTACTGAAAAATTGGGGAGGTGGAAAAGTAAAATGCAACAACCTCTTCAAACCATTCCCCACCACCACCAGTAGCAGCTAAACGAGCAATTACATTTTCAGTGCAATACAACCTGTGAACTATTTTGAAGGAGGAATGCAACAGTTGATGGGGGCACATATGAAAGTTTGTTTTCAGCTCATGCATGGCTTGGATATGCATATGGATTCCAGCTGTCATGTTACCTGATACTTTGGAATGTCATTCTCTGTGCTGTCTGTTGTAGAATTATGTAAAGAAGCTGTACTGGATGCACTGTTTGCTTGGCAGCATTTGCCACATGTCTTTCCAGAGGCTTCCTACAGGAGGAAATCACAATTAGTAAAGAGCATTGTGGAACATCCATAATTTGTAGATAAATCTGTCCATCAGAAAAGTCACTGTCACTGTACAAGAAGAATAAAAAGTAGCAAATTTTTAAAGAATAACAAATTTATCACAGCATGAAGTCTTGTGGATTACAGTCTGTCAAATGCAACACTTGTATTTTGCAGAAACAGATCAAGGCAAACAACACATTAAGTGATCCTCCTCAGTGGTTTCAACATCCTCAAAGCAACTAAGCGCTTTTGTTGCAAATGGATGTTTAGTTTTTCCTATTTTCTGTTCTCAGGAATCATTAGATAGGTTTGGAAATAGTTTCCTGTGCACAAGATTTTGGAGTTCTGACTTATTAATTGTTCCTTTTAATCATTATATGTGCATGTGAGCATCAGTCACTGGTGTTTGCCTGTTGTTCCACTCATTTATTCGGCTTTTTCGGCTGGTAGTACAATGGAAGAGGAACAAATGTAACCCTTTATTAGGAGTGGTGTACCATTTATGTTTCTTTGGATACTTATGACATCTCTCACCAATGACTATATTTGCTAAGCCAGACAGGCATTGCAGGCCAACAACATCTGGAGACTCATCAGTTGCCCACAACAGTTTCATAGGAGCAGAGGCAAGAAATCTGAGCTTGGAAAAAATTTATATGGGCCATCTCTTCCCATCTACCCCTGAGCAAAAATAAAAAATAAAAAATCACAGAACATTTAAATTTACCATGACCTCCTCTCCTAGATTGGAATGAGAACATTTAACCCTTCCTCTCTTAAAATGTAAGAGCTAGACCAATTAAAAATGACATTTAGACCCAGCATGCATCTTTAAGCACTTCTACTGTAATGAGTCATGTGCAGAATTCCACCACCAGATTTTGGAAAAGTTACATTTCAGGCCATTAGAAAAATTCTGGGAGTTTGAAAACAAAAAAGTAATATTTGCAGACAAGAGAAAAAAAAATCAATCTAGCAATAATGTTATATGAAATCGTGTCAATCCAGCTTCTCTGCTCAACCAAACCTGTGTCTAAAAGGGTTCTTTCCTATCTCCCTCAACTCTACTAATTATCTACCATATAGAGCACATTGGCCTTTTCACATTTTACTGCTTATTTACATTCCTTTTGTGGAGATTTTGCTTTGTACTCTATTTATGTAAGGGCTCCTTTTCTAATCTGCAATGTGACTGTCATTAGGGAAAAAGCAAAAATGTTAGTTGTCATGTGCTTGACACAAGCTACTGACAAGGAGGGAGGGTGATGGGGAAAGCTTGCCTCTGGGCTACCCACAGTAAAACTCTAGAACCAAATCCATCAGCTTCATACAGTGTGGCAAAACATGTGCTTCTCCCACAGCCTGGGGAAGTTTACACCTCCCAGAAACCCCCAGGCAGCAGAGACATTGGTTGTGTGGTTCTTGGAGTTGCAGTTCCAAGTAAGATAACTTTTTTTAGCACGTAAAGGCAGCCTAGCTTTCCAAATAAAGCCACCTGTGGAAAATGGGATCAACTGGTTCAACTTTTCACTATTTTGAAGACTTTTTAAAATAGCATGAAATGAACTTGGGGGAATGCCTAGCAAAGTGACAATAATAGAAGCCAAGCCTGCAACAGCTGGAAGCCAGAACAGTTCGCCCACTAAAGATGAGTCCTGTCTGCATATTATAAAAACCAAATGGGCTTTTCTTGACAGAGTGAGTTTCAGGCTCATTTGTATTTGTTTGTTTTACACAAGCTTCATAAAGGTGTGTCTTTTTTTCTTCAAAGGCAACCAATTCTATGTCTGGAGAAAAAGGACTTGGGGAAGGAGAGCTGTTCTCAGACAGAAAAGGAATTTAGCACATCCTCACTGCTCACTCACTGAGATTTGCTTTTTAAATTGTTATTTATTTTTTAGTTAAATGCATGCTCCATCTTTCTTTCAATGAGCTCAAGACGACATATGTGGCTCTCCCTCTCCACTTTATCTTCATCCTGTGAGGTAGGTTACATTGAGAAACAGCAACTGACATAAGGTCACCCAGTGAGTTTCACCGATCATTGCTGACTAATATCAGGATCTCCTAAGTCACAGTCTAATGTTCTAATCATTTATACTACATTCTTTCTCACTTGACAACTGTTTTCCTAAAGGTTTAAATAAAAATGTTAAAACATAAGATATTTTTAGAAGTGGTTATCTATGGCTAAAACAAAATCTTCATAGTCTGAATAAATGCAAACAATTTTTAACTTACTTGAAGCCCCGTCTCCTCAGTCTTGCGGACTGCAGTGGAATCAAATAAGACCTGTCTGCCCCGCCGCTCGCAATCCTGATACACTATCAAGCGGATTTCATTTAGGTCAAAACCGGAACAAGACCAGCTGTGAACAGAAAGAGCAACATTTTGGCAAAGAGTCAGGCAGCCTTCTCTATTCTTTCATTCCTTCAGCCGTTATAGCAAGGGTGGAAAAATGCAGTGTGTGGACCTCAAGTGGCCTTGGGGCTATTTTTGAGGGGCACCCCAAATTCCTGAAGCCTGCTAACCTCAAAATAAAATAAAAAAAGAACTGGGAGGGAAAACCCATTTGCTCAGAAAGACACGTTGCATCCTCTGGAGAGTAAGGGACAGCTTTGCCATTTGGGGGGATGTTGTGGTTTGGCACCCCATGGCCCTCATATGCTCCATATTTTTAAAATGTGGCCGAGAGAGAGCAGGTATCCCCTCCCAGTTTTTAGTTGAATTAACAAAGACCACAGCAGTGCATAACTGCTGTATTAAAAATATTAAAATATGCAAATTAGCGAATGTAACTCTTGAGCTTCTGGCAGATCTGAAGAATGGACTTTGGTTCTGCTGAGGTTGCTTCTCCTCCCGCCCCATTGCTGTTTTACAGGAATGATGCATTTCAGTGGAGCCTAGACAGGTTTACATGCATGCAACCTATTGTGGCTTGTCTCAACAAGACTGAGGCCAGAAATGCCCTTGATATTTTTTCAGTGTGCCAGAAAGAGCTCTTCACTCATCACAGAATCATAAAGGGATACCAAGAGTCAATAAGCCCACCTACTGCCAATCCAAGAATCCATAGCAAAGGCACCTCTAACGGAAAACCATCTAACCTCTGGTTGTTGTTGTTTTATCTCTACCGAAAGAGAGTTTGTCACCTTCCAAGGTGTAGTCTATTTTCATTGTCAACCACCTTCTCCTACCCAAAAGTTCTTACAAACGTTTCATCAAAACCTCCTTTTGTTGCAACCTGAATCTGTGGTTTGAGGTTGCGCCTTCTCAAGCAGTAGAAAGCAAGCTTCCTCCACTGTCCCTGTGACATCCCCCCAAATATCTAAAGGTGGCTATCATGTCAACTCTCCTTTTCCTCTTACTCCAGTGGTTCCCAAACTGTATGCCACGGTGCCCTGGGGTGCCGTCAACCTCCACGGGTGCACTGTGGAGACGCAAAAGTTGGTTGGGAAAAGGGGGAGACCTCGCTGGTGCCCATCACCTCTTCCCTTAACTTTGCCTTGCCCCTTCTTTCTTGACTCTCCCACTTGCCATCCTCTCCCTTTCTCCTCCTCCCAAACCCTTCTGAGGGAAAGCCTAACAAAGTGGCTGCCATCCATGCCACTGCTGTTTGCGCCACTGCTGCCTCCTGTGCCGCCCCTGCCTGGCCTACAGCCGCCGCTGCTGCTGTGGCACCTGCGGGACTACAGTAGAGGCAGAGCAGAGGAAGCCCTGACCTCACTCACCATGCTGCTCTCTGAGAACAAGGGAGGGTGAGACTAGGGGGCCTGGCCTGGCTCATCTCTCAAGAACTCCTTCCAGCCATCCTTCTCCCCCCTCACCAATGACCCTCTCACACAATCACTCTCTCTGTCTGTCCGGCTCAACCTTCCCCCTCCTTCTTTCGCTACATTATTAAAAGCTTAAAACAATAAATTACTGTATTTAAATATTAAAAAAATTTAATAACATTATATAGTATAATGTTAAGTAAAATAATTACTAAAAACAGATTTAAAAGCAACAAAATATGAACCACCCTGTTTATTGTCTCCTAGGTAAAGGTAAAGGGTTCCCCTTGACATTTAGTCCAGTTGTGTCCGACTCTAGGGCGTGGTGCTCATCCCCGTTTCCAAGCCATAGAGCCAGTGTTTGTCCACGTGGTCACGTGGCCAGCAGTGTTTTCCGTGGTCACGTGGCCAGCATGACTAGACATGGAATACCTTCCCACCAAGGTGGTCCCTATTCATCTATTTGCATTTTTATATGCTTTCAAACTGCTAGGTTGGCAGGAGCTGGGACAAGCTACGGAAGCTCACTCCGTCATGGGGATTCAATCTTACGACTGCTTGGTCTTGACCTTGCAGCACAGAGGCTTCTGCGGTTTAACCCTCAGCGCCACCACGTCCCTTTATTGTCTCTTAGACAGTAGCTATTAAAAGCCTGCCTGAAGGTCTTCAACTGCTTGTGGCAGGACAGCAAAGACGGGGCCAGACTGGCCTCCTATGGGAGGGAATTCCAGAGTCTGGGAGCAGAATATACATATTAATGCATTTTCAGAAATAATCAATCAAGAGGCTAAGCAACTAAATATTGCTTGTTTTTGCTGGTCAATGACCGTAATAAAACATTTCTTCTTGGGAAATATTGCTTGTTTCCTAAAGTAACTACATCAAAGGAAAAGTATATATTTTGCCCAGCTAAGACTTGGTTTTTTTCCACTGGAAATTATCTTTAAATGTCAAACAAGGATTTTCCTCTGCAAGAGGATGCATGACCATCCAAGCTGCATTTCACCACAGTAAGAAAATTCTTTCCTAACCTACAAGGTCAGTCACTCTTCAAACAATGCAAAGCATGTCTATGTATCAATACCTTGAATCATGTGACAATACCACCTTGTACTACCAAAATGATACACTGACCTCAGAGTGCATGAAAAAAACAACACAGAGAACTGGTTCTGGTCAGAGTCTCTGCTTCTCTAGCACTGAGCAAGGTCTTTTCTAAGCTAAAGACAGGCACCTTCCTTCCAGTGCACTTCATAACCCAGATGAATCATAGAGGACAGATGGTACACACACTCGGGTGTTTTTAGTTTATCCTGCTGTATAATAAAGGCTGTATAACAGGCTTTTGGTAATGACCACTTGATCTTCAACAGACATTCCTGAAGGAATAGGGAACTTTTCTTCTCTATTTAAATAGACTATTTTCAATGAGGGAAAAGGTTCTCCTTCACTGGATAAAGAAAGCTTAACCATGCATATAATTGTTTCTTTCTTTTAAATATCTACTGATTTTATGACACACACAACAGGAACCTATATACTGTGCTTTGTGGAGGGCCCAGGCGATTTGCAGGTTGCTTAGCTTTTTGGTTTACCTACCAGAGTACAAAAAAAGAAAAAGAAAAGAAAACCCAATCCATTTCTTTCCACCTGGGACAATAAATGGCTTGTTATCTGTAAGACAGCTGACCAAACACTCTCCTTAACAAAATACATGCTGGAAAGAGGTTTATAGCTCTCTAACCTATGGCTACTGAATATAATTCTCAGACTGTGGCTAAAATCCTGATGCTTAGCGCGGTAAGTCACATGTAGAGCAGACCAATTGAATCAATGGGGAATGGGTCGGTGAGTCAACTTCAGTGAGTCTTCTCTAATTGAGATTTATTATGCTAAGCAACAGGATTTCAGCCAGTATGTGTTTGCATGACATGACAAGCCAAAACATGCAAGCAGTATACTGATGCAGGCTGCTTGCACTGTTCCACTTGTAGTCAAACCAGCTAAACCAGCCGGAGAGCTTTGCTCATGATAAACCTTCATGGGCATCAACATGACCAGAGAAATAAATCAAGAAGAAAACCCTGGATTCTTTGTCTGATTTATTTGGAGAAAGAAAACCAGGTATGTACAGCTGCCAAAATCTATTCCACAGCAAGCTCCCAAAGTCTACTTCACAGCATGGAAACAGTTATTCTGGACTACAGCTTTCAGAGTCCAGCAATAACCATGCTGGCTATGGGACTGTGGATGCCATAGCCCAAAAAAGTAAAAAATTTTAAGCTCTGGTTCACACAACATGATAAAATACTGTACAATATTTAGTTACACTCATTGCAAGCAGGAACAATTAAATGGGATGCACTAGTTTGATACCCAGGCACAACAAAGCAGGGTTCCTGCAGATACCTGACTTGTCATATGATGTCAGTTTACCCATAACCTTCCTATGGTTATTTGGTTTCTAAACAATTCTCCTTCAAGTGTATACAACAATATTTTCCCCAAAAGCTAAGTGAAAATCTGCCTCTCTTTCTAAACTGACAGTCTACTTTAAATTAACATATCTTGCTTTCCTAGAAAGGTCAATGTTCATTTATGGAGATTTAAATCCACACAATTAGCACCTTAAGCTACACATGTGACTTGTAACAGAGTGTCATCCATGGAAAATCCCATTTCACTCTGATAATCACTCTGAGAGATAAGTAGGCTGAGAGAAAGAGAGTAAACACTACAATCAGCTAGCTTTATGACTAATTAAGTGCCTCAGTTTGATTTCCTCTACCCAAATCCAATGCTCTAGTGACTGCTTCACACTTCTGATTAGTTTCTTCTATGCTTTCAAAACATTTAATCTGTTGTGCTCAATGTATGTGTTCCTTTTTCTTTAATGAGATGTCTAGCAGCTAAACAAGTACCCTGATATTTGGATATATAACATAATCCTTTGAACAATGTAGTTCTTTAAACACTGGGCACATCGTGCAAAACCTGAAAGGTAAACACTGTGCTTTTCTGGGCCAGCTTGGTGTGGGGGAAGAAAAGTTTGTATGGCATCTTGGTTTAGGTTTTCTCCTTGTAGGAATACACTGCTGGTCCAGGATTTTTTCGAGGGTACGGCTGGAGCATTGCAGTTACTGCCCAAGTAAGGCTTACCTCTGAGTGGAGTTACCTCCTCCTCCCCACTATCAGCCAGTCCATATATCCACATGTTGTGTCCTCATTTCCACTATTAGTCACCTGTGACACCAAGGTGGAACATCAGCAGACTGGAGGTGGTTTCAGGCATTGATAGTGGTTTCTAGGCCAGCTGTAGCAGCTGCACAGCAATGCCTACACCCTGATGTCAGCCTTGTAAAGAGAGTTTGTTCTGCTCTCACATTGCTTGAAAACACTGTTGCTTCAATGATTTCCATAAGACAGTACCATTCATCTATTGTAGTAAAATAATGAAGAGGCATATGGAACCTTTAACACTAAGAGATTTTGTATAGCATGAGCTTCTGTATCCATCAAAGTTTATTCTATAATAAATTTACCAAAGCTACCACTATACTGTTATTTTAATGTCTTAATGAGTTTTTAAAATCTCTCTCCTTAGCATTGTTATATGTTGTCTGTCCTTATTGCCATAGTTTTAGACACCACAGCCATCAATTCATGTAATGTTGGGTTTTTAGCTTTTTCAAAAAAGCCCCTGAAAAAGATGGTCACAGTACTGAGAAACCAGGATGGATAAAATTAATGATTTTTTTAAAAAATACAAGTTGCTTTAAATCATGATTTGAATTTAGAAAATCAATTTTATAATTTAAATAATTAAAAAATCCAATTTTTAATTTTAAAATTACATTTGAATTGTGATACACACACAAATGCAGATTTATATCCAGCTTCATTTTTAAAAAGCATGTTTAAAATTTCCAGCATCACATTCTTTACAGGAAACACTACAAGAATTACTTTTTCATTGATACTGACTGGTTATATTATTCTTCAATGTCCTATTTAAAGCTTCTTACAACAATAGCAACACAATGAAATATTTAGTAAGAGCCTTTGGAAAAGATTTTTAGATCTGCTTTATTGTCCATACTTAATTTTGTCTTTCTTTAATGCAAAAACATTCTTGGTTATCCATGTAGTATACCACATTCTGAAGATATAACAAAGCATCTGTATTTAATACAGCTAAGACTTTTGTTGTTGTTTAATAAGCTTATATTATACTGCAATGAAGAAAACACACCACCCCTTAACTAGAAGTTTTGTCAGATTTTTTAAAGTCCAATTACTCCAACCCTGCATAACATGAGTTGCAGAATACTAGTTATCACCAAAGGAAAAAAGAGGGATTTTTAGAACTCTAATAGGAATGAAACTATTTCATGCCTGTTTCCTCCTTTCCTCATCAATCATTCTTTCTGTATTAATGATAATTTGATATGCTGAATGTCAACCATGGGACAAACACATGAGGCAGATGAGGCTGTTGGGTAGCTATGTGGTTTTGGTAGGTTGGGAATTCAGTTTCCCACTGTGCCTCCTTGACAGGGTCTATACACAATGATCCACAGAGTTCCTTCCAACTCTGTAGTTCTAAGATTACTATTATAGAATATGAAATATAGCATTAGCACAAATACAGCATCTACATTTCACACCAATATTTCACTCTCTTAGCAAAAGAAAAGTTCCAAGTATATTGACCTACACATAGATCAGTAATCTGTAAAATCCAGTAACACATTTAGAAGTGGAGGCAGGAGCTAGAGGTTGCTTTCAAGAGACTCTTTGGAAAAGAATTTCTGTGCTTACACAGGTGCAAGTTATTTTTCTAAAGGCTTCTTCCATTTCTCCTGTTATTCAAGTTACAACATAAATTGCCCACCTCACCCAAAGGAGACTGAATTAACTTCCATACCTGTTTAATAGTTTTCCAGCAATTCTTTTCGAATGTTTGATGCTTCTTTCTGCCACAAGTGGTTTCTTTGCATTGCCCAGCCTCGGCATTGCAATGTCATTTACCAAAGTAGTAGAGGAACCATGGATTTTACTTGCCTCCTCTCTCTGGTTTCCTGAGCTGTTTGAAGCCTTTGGTGTACCTCCACACATTTTGAGCTCACTCTCACATTTGAAGAGACAACTCTCCTACATTTATTTCTTGAAAATAATATCCACAAAGATATTGAGCTGAGCTGATACAGAAGCCAAAAAAAATCTTCTTGAAGAAAGGCAACCAAGACCTGGGTAGCACTCAGTAAGCTTTCTTCGTAGGACATCGCACGCCTTGATGCATCATGATTACAAGTACCCTCTTATCTAAAGTAGTATATTTTATTACCAACCCTCAGAACACACCACGCAATTTTACAAATTTAAAAATCATAGCATAGTTTGCTTGCCTGGGTTATTCAGCAAACTTGCTGTTAGAGGCAATAGCTAATAAGAACTGTGACTGTCTTGTTTCCTGGTATGCTTCTGTAGCTACTAATTATTTGATCACAAGACCTAACCAGATGGCCTTGGACAGAGAGGTTGCTGCTTTCTCATCCACTCCTGAGTTGCAAACTTGTTTTAAAACTGGCTGCAACACCCTCTTAATGCTCTCATGTGAGCAAGTGTCATCTGACTGTTCTTAGCAACCTTGTGTCTCCACGCCATAACTTCCAATGCAAACAGGAACCTGTCACTAGTACCACAGGTTATCAGTAGAGAATGATTAACAAAAGACCCTTCCTTGCTACATTTTTTTTTTGTTATCTAATATTACTTTTATAAGCAACTTGTTTACAGCAAGATATGGTGATTGCAATAAAGTTAGACGGACGAGGAAACATGTTCAAAGAGCACAGTAAAACTCCTCTAAATCTTGGAAGATGAAGAGAGAACTGTCCCCCTCCAATTAATTTACCACGAATACAAACATTATTTTGTGACACTTAAAATAGAAATATTGAATTCTTATTCTACCTTCTCTGGTTCACAAACATGAACAGAACAAAACAAACCAAGGATGTTTTGCAACTAACATGGAAAATGTGTTCCAATGTTTCATTAGGAGCTCCAGAGCACAAAACCTTATGTTCAGTTATCTCATTTGTTTTCCAATTTCTACTATATTTTTATTTAGCCCTCTTCCAGGGAGCTCAAGCATACAATGCTGTCATTCCCCCTATTTTCTCCTTAGAACAATTCTTTCCTCTAGATTGCCTGTCCCAACAGGGCCATACAAAAACATGTTTCTGAGACAGATGGCACCTTTGCTTCCATCTGATTCTGAATATAAAAGCTGAGCAAACTGACAGCTCAATGTTATTTCAAAAGAGGCAATGGGACATCATCCTCCACGATATTTGAGAGCAACATGTTAATTTAGGGAACAGGTCACGTAACACATACAACTTTAATCATTCTATGACCTTTGGAATTTGCCACTTGGTTAACCACTTTGCCTAAAGGGTGGGCTAGTCCTGTGTCCCAGGGTCTTTCAGCGAGTTGAGAGGAATCAGGTTTACATGCTTAAGTCCAAACCTCACACAACCTACAACAATCAATATAATTCCCTTCAGTTGTGACCCTTTCTTCAATGCTTTCAACTTGCAGGCTATAGAGCAAGTCAGCGTTGTAAGAATTCATCTTAGACAGAACAGGAGTTCCACGATAGTCACTGAAATCTCACATACTTCCAGAAACTCGTCATATCATAAAGGGAGAGAAACTATATAAACAGAGGAGGAATTAAAATTTTTCTACTTTTTGCCTTGTATAGAACTAGACTTTGGAATGTCAGTTTTAAAAACGAATGCATTGATGTTGATAGGACTACAGAAAATGATTGGTGCTTGTCAATGCTGGAAGGGATGGAACTTAATTTGTTGTGCTACTGTTAGTTTTTAAAAATGAAATAGTTAATTTTATAGGAAACTATGGGGTTGATAGAAAATGCTGAGATTGCTGGTCACCACTGTCCCCTAGTGGCACATTTGGTTACAGGCACCTTCAAAAGTGCCACTTTTCTAGCCTATCATTGTGTTCTCCAAGGTGACACTTTCCAAATGCACTGTGACATAAATCCTATGATCTAACTGGCTACCAGGTGTGGTGGGTTTCGTTATGCAATGCAGTGGGAAATTGCCAGTCAGGGGGAGCTTGTCCTAATAAGCTAATTTAACAGGTTGTTCTTTATTTTTTTTTAACTTATCTGCATTTTTTTCTGCTCTCATCAACATATAAACATACTATAAAATTCAACCTTCAAACATTGAGACTGCTTGTTTGGACTGGAAAATCTGAATAATGATATTTACCCCAGTTACAGAACACTAAACCATTGAAGCTCAGTAGTAAGCAGCTACAGAGATCAATTACTGAATCAAGAGTGCAGAATTCTTATTCAGAAGTATTCTGAATACTTCTGACCATATGCTGAACATTTTTCTGCATTAACAAATAATTGCATCCTCTACCTCACCACTCAAGAGTCAAGTAGTGTGGTCTGCTACTATCAGTGTTAAGAACATATATTTTGCATGAAGTAGTCAGGAAGTCTACGTTCAAACTTTGCCATCTCAAGTTTCTAACAGTAGATTCTGCTCTCCAAATATCCTTCTGCTCTTGAGACCACGTCCTGCTAAGAATAATAAAGCAAAATCTCTTACTCATTGGGTCACAGAAAAAGTGAATGGTCTTTACAAGCAAATTTACTTGCTAAGTCTCTATGAGGGAAGTGGAAACAAGTCAAATGTAAGTAGTTAAATGAACTTATTTCCAAGTTCTGTCCAGAAGGGCCTACAGAAAGGTGCACATGTTTAGTTTAGTATCCTGCTCTCCTGAAATACAAGGAACTAAAACTTCCCAACATACTTGCCTGCCACCAGCAGTGTTAGTGCAGTCAAGATCTCATAGAGCTGAAGCTCTAGGAGTTTCTGATTGGTGGGGTGGGGTAGAGGAACATGACATTCTAAGCTATCCCCATCAGGCTTCTCTGCTCTCTCTGGACTTAACTGCAAGCCTCTCGTTGCTGGGAGAGAAATGGATTTTCTTATAAAAGTATACTGTTGTGAGCTATATCTGAAGTAATGTAAAGTATTTGAGGATATTTGGGGTTGAGAAAATTCTGAAGAAAAATTCAAAGGCAGGACAGCATTCTGCATTAAAATGTCAGATAAAAATGTACTGAACTATTTAACAATGCATAAAAATATTTCAGTACCTGGACATACTGTTGATTCAAATCTGAACAAATTAATATGGATCACAGGATGCAGTGTTGCCAGATAAGATCTAGCAGAACCATTTAATCATAAGTTATGACAAACACACAATGGTCGCATAGTTGACAGGAAAACACTAATCCCAAAATGTGTTTTACTACTGAAACATACTGAACATTAATAAGAAACAGTTAATGTTCCCATCTCTCACAGAGTAGCCAGCTTTTCATCCAGACAGGACTCCTGTGCCTCTGATCTTTTAAGTAACAATGAACTCAAGAAACAGTTAATGTTCCCATCTCTCACAGACAGAGTAGCCAGCTTTTCATCCTGACAGGACACCTGTGCCTCTGGTCTTTTAAGTAACAATGAACTCAAGAGCTGAAAAGTATATTTTTTCATTATATGAAGACAACTCAATAGAAATTGAAACTAATTTTCTATTTTATCACCAGAAGGTCTTAATATATAAGTGGTGCTGCAAGCAGGAAAGGAACCACACAATGTCCATAGGTGGCTTGTTTATTATGACATCCAGATTGAGCAACAAGTACCAGCTCACAGTCTTGCTCATGAGACGTCAGACTCAGGACATTTGAGAATTCTGGATTATTGTAATGTATGAATTCTATCACTCTCTCTGAATTTCTTGATGCAACTATAAGCAGCAGTAGTTTTTAATGTTTTGTATCTTATGTCCCATGAATCACTTTTTTAAAGAACTTAAGTGAACCATAATGGGCACAGAAACCCACTTTCTCCTAGACGGGCATTTATACGATTATAGGCTATTTGTTACTTTATGTAAAACTAGCAAATGTGTTCAGCTTTCCCTAGATTGAAAATCCACAAAGCCCACCCTTGTCCCATGTTCCCACTACTTCCCCCCCCCCCAATGTTTTAAACTGATCTCTTTCCCTTTTACTCTATTAGTCTTTCTGCCTCCATGGTTAGAAACGCACCAACCCCAACCCTCTGCAACCCTTGTGCATGTCCTCTCTCTCCTTGGCCCAATTTTATTTTCATGCTGGTCTTTTTATTTTCTCCACCTCAGCACTCAGTCTAATAATCATGGAATTTAAATATAACTCATTTAGAGTACAACTGCCACAATTACTACTGGCAACATGGCCTATGGAGTTTCAAACTATTCAATGATTCAATTTCAGATCTCAATGTCTATGAAAAATTCCATGATTCTATTTCTTAATGTTTCAGAGGCCTTTGGAATGAGAACTACAATTCCAATCCCCCAGAAAGCATCACCAGTAAATATTTAGCCTACAAAGTTACTTTAATTGTAAATCACAATAATCATGGAATTTAAATATAACTCATTTAGAGTACAACTGCCACAATTACTATTGGCAACATGGCCTATGGAGCTACAAACTATTCAATTTCAGATCTCAATGTCTATGAAAAATTCCATGATTCTATTTCTTAATGTTTCAGAGGCCTTTGGAATGAGAACTACAATTCCAATCCCCCAGAAAGCATCACCAGTAAATATTTAGCCTACAAAGTTACTTTAATTGTAAATCAGTACTGTATTATTAATGAAAAATGTTGTATTTTGCACTCTCACCACTTCAGTTTGGTAAAAAAGACTACAACTCCCAGATTCTCCCAGCCTGCCTGGCCAGGCAAGATAGAACCCATCCATTTATTTAAGCTGTGACATTGGTAGTGGTGGTTCAAAATGTTGGGCTGAAATTCTACTGCATGATGATGTAACTTTTAGATGCAAATTCCTGCAAGTTAAGAAATCTCCGAAGGCACGCTGCACCATGTGACTAATTTTGCAACAGATAATATACAACAATTAAGGACAACAATTGGCTTCCCAAAGCTGTATCATTTGTGTGACTGAGTGACAGAACTTCAGCCACAGCATCTCTACAATTGGCTTCCCAAAGCTGTATCATTTGAGTGACTGAGTGACAGAACTTCAGCCACGGCATCTCTAGCTCCCACAGCAAAAACAAAAAACAAAAAAAACCCTTATACTTGAGTTCTACTACCTACTTTCTCTTTAAGCACAGAATCATTCATTATGGCAAAAGATGTTTTCTGAGGCAGAAGGCTGGGTTCTGCTCAGACCAACATCATTTTACATTCATTCTTCTTCTCAGAGGATGCCTCATTTTAAACAACATTTGTTCCAGATGGATCTGGCCAACTTTCAAGAACACAGTGCTCAGCAGAGACAGGACAAATTCAACAAATAGCTCTTTGCCAGACATTGAAATATGGGTACTTTTTGCTAAGCTTGCTTTTATCTTCCCACACTCCCTGCCCTCTAGCATCTACCATGTGTTTTACACAAGAGTG